GAATTTAGAGTGAAATTGATAGAGTTTTAGTCTTGAGGTTAGTTTAGTTTTATTTATTTTTGACAAGTCGACTTAATTATTTTAATCTATAATTGTTAGGGTCCGTAAATATTTTTTTCCTTAGCCTATTTTTTAAACTTCATAATTTTAAGAGTTTATGTACTATTTGTTTGCTATTTATTTATTATTACGTTATTTCTTTTTACCACTAGTGTGGTTTGTTTTGGAATCTAATTATTTGGTCCAGTGTCCAATGTTATTTTAATTTGAAATTTTTAAGTTTTGTACATATACTTGTCATTATCCTATGTTTTAATTTTTATAATTTTAGGAGTGTATTTGTTCTTTATTTATAACTTCTTTACAATTTTTCCTTATATTTTAATTATCAATGTGAGTTGTTTCATAATTTAATTTTTAGATTTGGTATCTTTAATTATTTTAAACTTAAATTTTTATGTTTTGTACATATGTTTGTCCTTAGCTTATGTTTTAATTTTTAATTTTATGAATCCATTTTCTATTTATTTATAATTTAGCTATTATTTTAATTATCAATGTGAGTTGTTTCGAAATTTAATTTTTAGGTATATTATCCTTAATTATTTTAATCTAAATTTTTTAAAGTTTGTATGTATGCTTGTCCTTAGCATGTGGTTTAGTTTTTGTAATTTTAGGAGTCTATTTGCTATATAATTTCAATTTATTTGTTATTGTGCTATTGTGGTTATTATTATAAGGGTTTGTTTCATAATTTAATTACTCGATCAATTTCTCAATTTCATTTCAATCTTAAATTTTCAAGAGATATGTACATATATGTTAATAGGTTGTCGGTAAACTCTAGTTGAATTTACATTTCACTTGGTGTTTATTTTGTTATTTTCTATTATGTTTCGACTTATAATTCGATTTAATTATCAATTGTTTAAGTTTATTCAGCAAAATGAGAGATCGTCAACTCTTCTAGATTATAGGGATCGATGACAATCTCAAATCGAATTTATTTTATTATTAAGAAATAATACACCTTTTTAGGGTAATTAGAGAATTCAAGTCGACCTAACGAGTCTCTCTTTTAATAAAGATAGATGTTAGTCTTGACACCTCGATAAAAAAATTATCAAAAAAAAAAAATAGTTAAGCTAAATACAAATCAATTTTAAATATTTTTAGCTAATTAGATTGTTCATCGACATGTTGGTCATGTCAAGACATAATTGGATCCAATGTTAAATTGATGGCTCTCGATTTTGGGATGCAATGTCAATTTAATACGATGTCATAATAAAAAAAAATGACTTGGATGATAAACGAACTTGGAAACGAGACTTAGTAGATAATTTGGCAAACATAATTCTTGTGAGATGCTTTTAGGATTAAATCAAATACAGTGCATTTCTTCAAAGATAGTACTTTTGGGTGATTATTATCTTTTAAAAAACATAACCATCTCCTTATCCAAAATCTTTGAATCTAGTTTATTTCGTAAGTTTTGTAGTTCTTTTCAATAGTAGATGACGACTCTAAAAACTTTCTTAATCCTCTTTCTTTAGAAAAAAATAAAATAAAATTTTTAGAGGTCCCATTAAATGTCGGGTAGAACATTATTGGTCATGCCGAAAGCATTTTTTCTTGCTTACTATGACATGACTTTTTATGCATTGAAAATAAGTTCCTTTGCTCAATCCTTTTGGCAAAAAAAGAAATCCATCAATCCATCCCTTAATTTATCAAACCAATCCTTTAAGTTATAATCATGCCAAAAGTAAAATCACATTTTATTGTGCTAAAGTGAATAATATTATGAAACTAAATAAATCTGAAAAAGTATATTATAAAAAAAAAAGATTATAGTTGCATTATTAAATAATTTGATTTTTTCTCCATTTATAAAATGAGTCTTGCTATTCATAACTTTAAGTCATAGAGAAATGTATATAGGACTTACCTTAATTTTGAAATCAAACAACATACTTATATTAACAATAATAATAAAAACTCAAATGAATCGATATTAATAAAATTTAAAGCTTGCTTTGGTGGTTTTGACAACTTATTGACCATGTGATTTGGAAAAAAAACACATTGTTTTTATTGCCATAGATATAGACAACCCGTTTAATTGTTAGGCATTAGTAATTAGCAAGGTAAAGTAAAAAAAAAAATCATACTACCATGACGAGCTGAATTGGCTAACACTACAAAAATAAAGGTCTACTCTAACCTTCTCTAATAAAAAGGCTTTTTTAGGTTCAAATACTCTAAAAACAAATCTCAAAAAAGGATTTGAATTAGTAACTTTTGACAAGTATCAAAAACTCACTACCAATAGACTAAAAGTTTATTAGTAAAAAAAAAAAACATTCAATAAGACTTTTACATAAAAGTTTATCAATTGTTTAAGTTTATTTAGCAAAATGAGAGATCATCAATTCTCTAAGATTCTAGGGGCTGATGATGATCTAAAATCAAATTTATTTTGTTATTAAGAAATAATACACCTTCTTAGGATAATTAGAGAATTCAAGTCGACTTAACGAGTTTCTTATTTAATAGAGACAAATGTTAGTCTCGACACCTCACTAAAAAAATTATCAAAAAAAAAAAAAAACCTAAGATAAATACAAATCAATTTTAAATACTTTAAGCTAATTAGATCATTACTTGATATGTCAATCATGTCAAGATATAATTGGATCTAATGTTAAATTGATGACTCCCAATTTTAGGATGCGACGTCAATTTAATACAATGTCATAATAAAAAATAATAATAATAATGACTTAGATGATAAATGAACTTTGAAATAGACTTAGTAAATAATTTGGCAAATATAATTCTTAGGAGATATTTTTAGAATTAAGCCAAACATGGTACATTTCTTGAAAAAAAGTGTTTTTGGTTGATCGTTAACTTTCAAAAAACATGACCAACTCTTTATCCAAAATCTTTGAACCTAGTGTATTTCCTAAGTTTTATTGTTCCTTTCAATACTAGGTGACGACTCCAAAATTTTTCTTAATTCTTTTTTCTTTGAAAAAATAAAAATAGAAATTTTAGAGGTTCCATTAAATGTCGGGTAACGACATAACTATTGGAGTCTATCTTTGATATTAATATACCATGCACATCATTGGAGAACATTATTGGTCATGCCAAATGCATTTTTTCTTGCTTACTATGATGCGATTTTTTGTGCATTGAAAATAAGTTCATCTATTCAATCCTTATGGCAAAAAATAAAATAAAATAAAATAACAAATACATCAATCCATCCCTTAATTTATCAAACCAATTCTTTAAGTTATAATCATGCCAAAAGTAAAATCACATTTTTATTGTGTTAAAGTGAATAACATTATGAAACTAAATAAATATGAAAGCATAATTATTATAGTTGCATTATTAAATAATTTGACTTTTTCTCCATTTATAAAATGAGTCTTGCTATTCATAAGTTTAAGTTATAGAGAAATGTATATAGGACTTACCTTAACTTTGAAATCAAACAACATACTTATGTTAATAAAAAAAAACTCAAATGAATCGATATTAATAAAATTTAAATGGTTCTGGTGGCTTTGACAACTTATTAACCATGTGATTGAGGGGAAAAAAAACATTCTTTTTTGCCATAGATATAGACCCTACAACCCACTTAGTTGTAGGCATTAGTAGTTGGCAAGGCAAAAAAAAAAGATCGTATTATCATGACGAATTGAATTAACTAACATTACAAAATTAAATGACTACTCTAACCTTCTCTAGTAAAAAGACTTTTTAAGATTCAAGTACTTAAAAAAAAAAATTGAACTCATAACTTTTTGCAAGTATAAAAAACTCACTACCAATAAACTAAAAGTTTATTGGTTAAAAAAAAAAACATTCAATAAGACTTGTACATAAAAATGATATTACTCAAAATCATTTAAAACTTATCTAATTATATGTCTATTACTCTAAATTTTTGTTAGATTTTCAATATAAATAATATTCTAAAACCGTTTCAAAACGTCTTTACTTTTAAAATAAATTAATGACGATACGATATTAGTATTTTAATTAAAACTAACAAGAAATAACTGAGTTACTTATTAATCACATCTTCTATTAACTAAATAAGTATAGACTTATTACACCATCATATTATATGCTACAAAAAGCTTCAAAAAAAGCAAAGAATAATATCCATCCTACCGTTAACCTAAAACAAAGGAAGAAGATGACTAGTTAAAAGTTTTGATTATTTCTGAAGGGAAGAATTACTAAATATACCATAAGCAAAGGACAGCAACACAAATAACAAATAGGTTAGATAAGGAGTGAATACCTATCTATGTTGAGGAAATAAAGAAGGTGGCAGAAAAAGACAGAAAAAAGAGGCCTTATAACGTCACCCCATTTAAAATAAAACAAAGCAAGTAAGCCATTTTCAACGGTTCGATTCCATCTCTTTTTCCTCAATAAAAAAAAATCAAAAAAATTTATCCCCTTCCCCTACAGTACCATTCTTATACAATACCTCAGCATCGTCTTCATTTCCTTCAAATTTTCATCCCTTTCCCCTCAGTTTCTCCGAAACACACACTCACGCTCCACCCTATCTATTCTCTTTTACAATTTCTCACCTACTCTTATCACTTTCTCTTTCTCTCTCTACAAAAATTAAAATTACTAAAAACCTCTGCTTTTTCATTTTTCTTTTTCTTTCTTTCTCTCTCTAAAACTACATCCATGGACCCACCTAGTCCTTCATTATTGATCCCTCCACCACTTCAACCGTCCATGTCTCCACCACCACCCACCACCACAACCGCCACTGAAACCCCCATTTAACTCCTCCATCCAACCCTACCCCTACTGTAACCCATCCTTCGTATGCTGAGGTAAACAACTCAAAACTTATTAAAGGAAAGTTAAAGACTCTCTCTTTCTTTTTTCTTTCTTTTTTGGTTCTTTAAAGTTCTAATCTTGATTTCTTTTTCTTGTTTTGCAAGATGATATATTCAGCGATTACAGCTTTGAAGGAACAAGACGGGTCAAGCAGGATAGCTATAGCGAAGTATATAGAGAGAGCTTATCCTGGTTTACCACCAAATCACTCTGATTTGTTGACACACCACTTAAAACGCTTGAAAAATAGTGGGGCGCTTGTTTTGAACAGGAAATCTTACATGCTGCCCAGATCTGATAATAACACAAACATCACTACCACCACTACAGCAGCTACAACTACTGTTTCTACTAACCCTCCTCCGATTCAGGCTCAGTCAGATCAACAGCAGCCACAGTACGCTGTTCCTGTCTCTTCTGCTCCTCCTGAGCAGAGGAGGGGGCGAGGAAGGCCTCCTAAAGCTAAGCTTAATGGGCTTTCTCCAACTTCTCCTCCGTTGCTTGTTAATGGGCAGGCACAGACTGGTCTTGGCTCAAATGTTGGTGTTACTGGTCAGCTTCAAAATCAGATTGTTGTGAGTCCTGGTGGGCTTCCTTCTGAGCCAACCTCCTCGATGGTGAAGAAAGGCCGAGGACGGCCGAAGAAGGTGATGGTGACTGAAGCTGGGTCGATGTTGGTGAAGAAAGGAAGAGGTAGGCCACTAAAGAGTGGGCCTTTAGGGTCCAAGAAGAGTCCAGGAAAGCCCAGAAAGCCTAAGTCTTTGGGGGGTGCTAAAAAGGGTCCTGGACGTCCATCTAAGAATCAGTTAAAGCCAGTCAATGTTCCTTACGCTGTTACTGCTCCTACTGCTACTGCCACTGATTCAGCATCTGTGTTTAATGTAGCATCACCAAGGCCCAGAGGCAGGCCAAGGAAGGGTGACGCTCCAGCTGGGGCTGGTGCTGTTGCTGTTGCGGTGGTGCAGGCTAAGCGACCAGGCCGCCCACCTAAGCTTCCTGGTGTTATGACGCCTAAGCTGAAGAATAGTTCTGGGAAACCTGTTGGCCGGCCTAGGAAGGTAAATGTTGCTATTTTTACACTTATTGACTATGGTTGTTGGTTGTTATTGTTAATATTTGGTAAATTCCATAATTGTGTGAATAGCCTATTTATTGTGCAAATATGTAGGTGCTTTCTTTTTAATATCAGCAATTGATAGGTAATAAGGCGAATATAGGCATATGATTTAGCATTAATTCGCATTGTTACAGTTTTGTAAACAGTGTGTTCTTTGAGATAATTATGTTATTTGTTATTTAATATACTGGCCTCATTATGAGTGAACAGAATGAGAATTATATCAAGTTTCGATAATGTATTTGGTTTGTGTGGTGTATTTAATATAATTCTTCCTATGAGAGAACATAATGAGCACTATATCAACGTACACAAATGTATTTGGTTTGCTTGATATGCTTTGATCCGTAGAGGTTGTGAATTATCTTTGCTTTTGTGGGACATGAAAATAGGCTGTTATTAGTTGATTTGCATTTGTGTTTATCAGCTCCTCAGTTTCAATTAGATCATTTTGTCCTTATTTTTTATTTTATGGGGAAAAAGGAAGCCTTTGCTTTGTTTCAATTTGTTATCTAAGAAGGGTTCTCATGTAAACACAGAAAGCAAACATGTGCTATCTATAGATTAGGTTGTGCTGCCAATCATGTTATATCATGCCGTGGACTAAAAATTTTGAACTTGTTCATTTTTCTTGTTGTTGAGAAAGCAAATTTGGTCTTGAATATCTAAATTAGTTTCCATCAAATACTTGTCTTTTGAGGTGGATCCATGTCCTCTTGAATTCAAGACCACCCCCCCCCCAAAAAAAAAGATCCGGCCCCCCTTTTTAATTCTTTTAATATCCATGATTTATTTAATTTAATTACCACCCCAACAAAGTCCAGTCCCTCTCCCTTTTCAGTAACTTTACATTGTGTTTAATTTGTCTCATTGTGGTATCTACTAATATTACGACATGTTATTGGGTTCCTATCAATAATTCTGTTGGTTGATAATATTGTTTTTTATCAATATCACAGTGCCGTAAATTTGAGAATTCAAGAAAAATGTGGTGGATAATGTCACAGTCAGAAGTTTAAAAAAAAAAGTTGTGCGAAGGGAACTTTCTTCTAAATGCAGATGGGCTCTTTTTTTAAAAATGTCAATAAATTGTTTTTTTGTGGTGATTTTCAAGTCAATCTTATGATGTTAAATTGCTACCTGTTCTGTGTAGAATTGAACGGAACTCCATTTTTTTTTATGTTCTCTTAATCTGTTCATGTTGATTTAATTCTCATCTATACTTTTCATTTTGGAAACAAGAATGCAAGTGCACCATGGGCTACTAGAGCCTCGCAGGCTCAAGCACAAGCAGAATTGCATGGAGAACTTAAGAGGAAACTTGAATTTTTTGTAAGTCAGACAACAATTTTCTTGCACTTTTATAAAATGTACTTTTCATTGTGATGAATTATTACTTACTCTGTATTATGTTGCTTGCAGCAATCAAGAGTTAAGCAAGCCGTTGGGGTGCTAAAGCCTCATTTGACTGGTGCCGCAATCAGTGCAGTTGCAGCAATCCAAGAATTAGAAGGCCTTGCATCAATGGACATTAACGTACCATGGACGGAGGAACCTCAACCACAAATTCAAGCACGGGCACCTGGCACAGGCACAGGCACAGCCCCAGCCCCAGCCCCAGCCCCAGCCTCAGCCCCAGCAGCAGCCGCAGCCTCAATTGCAACCACAGCAGCAACTGCTCCAGAGTTAGGAGAGATGTACGAGGATCATGAATTTGTTCGTGATGTTAGAAACCTCATTGTCAGGATAAGAGACTTGTAAGAAACTTTCTAACCAAGACAGGAGTTGAAAACAAAAGTCTGTAAAGGGAATTAGGGAGGACTAATTGTTGTGAAAATGAGGATGTAGTTTGTTGTTTAAGTGACGGTGGGAGACCATGGTGGATTTCATTCTCTGTTTTAGATTTGAGATTTCATTATGATTTTAGTACATTTGAACAAGATTTGAATTGCCTGTGTTAGCTGTGATTTGTGTCTTAATCATCTTTAATCTAGGTCACTCAGCAGAAGACAAATGTGAGAATAATTATGTTAAATCTGTCATAAAATGCAGTTCATATGTTCTTGGCTGAATGTCTCTCTTTTTACCGTATCTTTTTAATTTGGTCATGGTCTGAATTTTTCTTGGAACATAACCCTATTAGCAAGGCGGTTTGGTGACTGTAATGTTCTTTGATGATATCATTTTTTAGATGTAAATGTGCGATGTTGTCACTTGAACTTGCTTGAAGGTTAAGCACCAGTGCCAGGACATTCTGCCCAGATTTGCTGTTGCAGGGACCAACGTAGCTGAACATTGATGAGCATTTACGTGCATGGATATGGATACTAACTGGTAATTCGGTTTTGCTCTGTGCTGCTTTTTGGCTTTAATTCTTCAATCTAACGTACAAAATCCGAAGTTTCCATCGCAAAAAATTGATTATTACGCGATAACTGCAGTCTTTCTCTGCCTTTTGCGTTTAACTGCAAAAGTAGCATTGAATCTCAAGTACAGGCTTTAACACCAAACTGCATTTACCAACCAGACTACGTAAAACATTCGAAACGTATGCAACTTCTTTTGGCCCCTAGGAATTTAAAAGACTGCACAATTTCTCTAACTATTTTCACTGGATTTTGATTGATTGAAAGCGGAGTTTTCATCATCAGCCACGAGTCAGAACACACTTGAACTGGCAGCCGTAACGGGGAGAGCCGATCCGCCACAAACCTGCCCAACCATACTGGAAATTTACGCTGAAAAAAACTATAGTAAATTTGTGGGAGTGTGGGTTTAAAGTTCTAACTCTGGTCGCTAGAGTTTTTTCTTTCTTGCTTGAATGGTCAAGTGATCGGTTGCTCGATATTATTAGGTTATTTAAAGGAGGGAGAATTAATTTAAGGGGTTGGGGATCGTTAAGACTTGAAGGGTATGGTCCCATCCAACGTTCGAAGCTTGCACTCCTGAGTCCTGACCATAGACCACCCTCACTCAGCTAAGTGACCACTGCTACCAGGCCAAAGGCAAGCCTAATGGGTTGCTGGAAATTGTGCTGAAGATTATTTCTACGTTCAAACTGCAGGCGAGATTGAAACTAAACTGGAGGAAAAAACTATGTTGGACACTGGAGTTAAGTTCAAAATTGTAGTCCATCTTTGTATTAAAAAAGGATAAATCGTAACTCGAGATATTTAGAGGAAAAGAAAAGACACTAATATCGATACCAATTGAACTATAATTCATTAGCATAGTCTATTTTACTAACATCCATAAAAAACAAAAAAAAAAACGGTTCCATCTGTACTTGGACAGTCAAGTTAAATTGGGTTCATAATTGCAGTGGTTGTTTTTACAAATGTTAAGGACGAGGAGGCTCCCTGAGTCACTGTCTTCTAACTCCCCTGAGAAGGTTTTAGTTGGGTGGAGTTTCCTGTTCTCGTGAAGTTTTAGGTCTTTGGATTATAAAATTATTCATAATCCATTTGTTAAAATTAATTATCTCTTTAAGTAGCCAAAATTGAACTTGATTGTTCGGTCAATCCCATGTACCAAATTTCCGGCACTGAATGGGTAGCTTGAAAGAAGCCCTTTCCAGTATCATATATCAAACTAATCCAATCTATTTTCATTGACTAACTAATTCTCTACAATTTTCCTGACCTTGACTAAGGTAATTTATGCATTATATTGGATTCTTTTTACTCTATGTAGCATGAATGTCAACAAGCCCGGCGGTCTAATTCTAAAATAAGTAAAACTCATGTTATATCCTTATATTATTCGATATTGTTTATTTTAATTTTTTATTTAAATTAGATATAAAATAAATTCATATTTTTTAAAGATGGGAACAAAAACTCTTTCATCCACCTTCGCTATCCATGCGTTATTAGATAATTAGTCATACATTGAATGAAAGAGTTTGCTTATTTCAACAATCACTACTACAAAATTTATTTTATATCATACTTAAATAAATAGGTTAAAAATGAACAATAGTAAATTTCACTTATTTTAAAATTAGATTGCATATTGGACTTAAAAAACATTAATATGTTGATTTTGTTTTTGTCAAAGATAATTTTTGTAAATTAAGAGGAGAGATGTGCTCATAACCAATTAATTAGTACATCAATATTTTCATAAAATTAACAATTCGAAAGGACTTTAGACGTTAAATTAGTATATTGATTAAAAAAAATTATGGAATTGATTTTTGTAATCCTTGAAGAAGGACACAATTGAATTGAATTAAAAGCCAACATTGTGTCTTGGGAAGGCAAAAACAACAACAAATAATATTATAAGCTTGGCCAAAGCGGTCCTGCACCTTGTCTTGCAGGAGTGACTCACGGTCCAATCACACTCTATTAAGTTTTCCACTTTTAGCTGCCTTTTTATTGGATAATGGTGCTCCAGATTTTTGCCCTCTTTTGTCCACTAAAATATAAATTAATCCAGCTTGTTTAGAAAAGCGAATTAACTAGTATTATTAGTTTCAACATTTAATCTTTATTATATTTTTTAAAGAAATAAAAAAATAAAAATATGAATAAATTGATGATAAAAAAATATTCTATAAAATAAAAAAAATTAAATTAATCATGTTCAATACTAGTTAAAAAAATTAAATAATTGATTTTTAAAATTAAAAAAAAATTAATCAATTGGTTCTCAAAACAAGAGGAATTAATTTAAAATTTACTCCTCTTTTATCTCACACTCTATTCCATAAATCATTCGCTTTCTTTTAATTTAAATAGATAATATATAAATAGATCCGATGATATTCTTCTATTAAATCTGTTTTTTCATTTTTTTTTCTAAAAACTAAGGTGGATAGTAATATAGAAAATAAATCCATTTGGATTTATACTCAAAGATGAACCATTTCTCTTGTAAAATTACACTAAAAGTATTTAACATTATAGTTTATACAATTTTTTTTTTTTCTAAGATGGTAGTATTATACATACATTTCTTAAATAAGAACGGCACACATATTCTACTTTGGGCATTGAACACTTGGTGACAGCCAAAGCTGCCCATCGACGATAAGTCCAAGCCGACTCAACCAATTAGAGACCTTGACGTCTTTAAAAATAATTGAAATTTCAAACAAGAAAAAAAGTTATTTAAAAGTGAAAAGATTCATTATTTTGATTATTTTGAATTTCTAGGGATTTTTCAAAATAATTTTTTTCTTTTTTAAAAAAATTCTTAATATTTCGACCTTTGAATTTTTGGGCATCTTATGGAAATTTGAAAAAAAAAAAATCTCTTTCAAAGTTTCAATTATTTTTAAATTGTTGAATTTTTTATATTTTTCAAATTTAAACATTTTAGAAAATTGTTAATCCTTCGTAACAAGACATGTACGTTATTTAAAAAAATTAAATAATAAATTAGTGAAAAAAATCTAACAGAAAAGACTGTATTAAGAAAATACAAGAGTAGAGAAGTAAAATTTATAATTAATCTAACATTAAATACAAGCGTTACATGGTAGAGGATTTAACATATCTGGAATGATCATTAATGAAAAGAACAAACAAAGAGAAATAAAATAAATAAAAATAAAAATAAAAGATTGGCATTAATACAAACAAAAGATAAAAAGATAAAACTAATAAAAAATGGGTGTTTTTTTAGTAGTAAGTACTGCTCCAAATAAAAAGCAGTATTTACCTAGTGAATTGTGAGCCTTGAAATTCGCTACGTACTTTTTCTTAGATAATCCGAGTTTGTTTTACCCCATCCTGTGGGTGTTTTGTGCATAAATATATAATTAATTTTTAATAAATTAATGATTTAGTTTATATATATATATATATATATAACAAATGGGCCTAGAGTCTGCATCTAAAAATAAAAAACACTACAAAAATACTCAACATGTAGAAAATATACTGAATCAAGTTCAAGATAATAATCGAAATAAAATAGCAACAAAATTAATTTTAATAAATTTTTATTATATATATAAAAAATGCATTGGTTTAATTATTTTGTTATAAATAAATACCTCAATCCGTACTTGTGTAATGAATTCAGTCTACAATCTGTTTTTACTTTATTAATTACATCCATTATGTCCTTTCCTTTCAATCAATATTTTTTACCATGAATTTTTTTTAATAAAAAATCTTAGCTAAAATGCAAAAATAATAAATAAATAAATAACAATTAAAGCATACATAACCGGCATTGTAACCTTTAGATAAAATGTGCTAGAAAACGATCTGTCAATCAGGTCTGTGATCGATTTAATTATCCTGACGCAGCCTTCGTTGGCCCACAAACTTTGACCATAATGAAGTAGTGGAGCGAAACCATTGCAACATTTTTGTGTTAAAATCTCAGATACTTTTATTTAAAAATTATAAGAAACTATTGTACAAATTATACTAATTTATGTTTCAAAAAAAAAAAAAAAGATAATATTGTTTGAAACAAAATTATCTCAAAATCTGGACATAAAAAAATATTTTTTAAAAAATAAAATTCTCTAAAAATAAAAAAATTAATTTGATGAGAATTTTTATAAAAAATAATAAATTAAATGAATAAATTTTAAATAATAAGAGTAATGTAATTTGAATCACATTTTAAGTATAAAATTTAAAAATATATCATAAATATTTTTTTCATGCTAGGTTATTTGAAAAACCCAAAAAATAATGATCATTTTCCATGAACAAAATTAAATTCAATTAGGAAAAAAAAAAAAAAAGCAATCAAGGGCCGCATGTTTACACACGTGCAGGCCATCCCGTTACTTAAAAAAAAAAACAAACAAAACAAAACAAATAGACGAGAACGACATGTCGCTCCTGTCACGGGCCACAGATAGTGGATGATGCGTCGATCGCTCTGCAATTTTTGGCAAATATGAATTTGTTGAAAAATCAAGGCTACGGAATTTTCGCCCTTTCCAACCAAATTTCACGGTCGTTTTGACCTCAAAATCAATGAAAAAAAATCCCAAAAATCTCATTTTGAAACCTTAAACCTTATTTTAATGCACATAAAAAATACAAAAAACCAAATCAAATACAAAAACTAAAATATATCTTAATATCTCAATCTCTTTCTCCTTATCATTTCATAAGCTTAAGATTATAATAAATAAAATTTTTTTACCAAAATGAACAAATTGAATCCATGAACGACAGTCATTATAGCCAAAATGAGCTTCGTTATGAGTTTTTGTCTCTCTCTTTTTTTTTTTTATTTGTTTCTCTCTCCTAACTCTATATAGAGACTAATCCCTAATGCAAATAAAGTTGGAATTCGAAACAAAAATGTTAGCAAAATCATAAATCTTTTTGTGTAGCATTTTTTAAATACAGCCTCTTAAATGCCCTAAGCAAGTCTCAAAATTACAAAAATGCCATTATTAGAAATAATCAAACAAACGAGAGTGAATAGTATTTTATAAGAAAAAGTTAGCCCTCAATTTTTTTAATTTTATTGTTATATATTAATAGTTTCATGACTTGAAAAGAAGCTCAATTGCTTTTATCAAGGGGAAGGCCCTAATCAAACTTTAAAATAATTGGAGAAATTATTTAACAATTTTTGTACGTACGCTTTTTCCTCTCACATTCACACACACACATATATATATATATATATATATATATATATATATATATATATATATATGGATTTGCCCATAAATTTCTTATCGAAGGCATGTTCAAAATATTAATCCCATCGTTCGATAAAGAATTCTAGCAAGATGTTTATGGTATCAAAGAGTTTGTTCACCTACGTGATGATTGGATATAGAAATGAATTGTAAAACATGATATTTAATAATTTGATGTTTTGTCTTTATGTTCACCAATACAAGAAACATGTTCCTGGTCCTTCGGAGCTAATCGTCAATACTTTATTAATTAAGGATTTTTTTTGGCAAGCCATGGTAAATATATTAGAAAGAAAAAGATTAGAATAAATGCACTACTTACTGCATTGTTTTGATTTAAAATATGGATGTCGTGATTGAGAAACAGCATAAACTAATGGAAGGTTCATCAATCATTTTCACCCTCCATAAATTCTCTATATCAAGGGTACAAATCGATAGTTGAGATTAACACCTAATATCGCTTTCTGATGATAATTATTATATTAAACCAAGCAATCTTCCTGATAGAAAATTAGAGGTTTGTAAATTATTGGCCGACTAATCTATACCAAGGTGGCCCATGAATTAAAAGTTCCTTTACAGATAATTATAAAGTGTCAAAATCTAGATTAAAATAAAGTAGATAAGACAAGATACTTTGCTGCAGATTAATTTGTTTTTCAATTCTTAAAACTTTAATATAATGAAGTTTGTTTCTAAAATTAATGTTAATAATTATTGTGGGGTTCGTTGGAGTATAAAAATATATATGTAATAGAGGGTAAAGGACTAAAATATTAGTGTATTATGAAATAATCATTTTCGTAAAAATAAATAATCATAAGAAAAGAATATTTAATAAATGAGGTCGCTATAATTCGTTATCAAACTTCTTAATTGATGCATTACACTTATGAACTTCAAATTACATATCAGATTTATATGGTTAGATATAGAGAGAGTTTTTTTTATACCAAACTTTTGATTTTTAGTTTTTCTATTTTAGTGTTTAACTGGTGATTTTTAATGATTTACTACTCAAGTTTTGAATTTTTTTGTTTATTTTGGTCCTCAAATTCACTTGACTTCCAATTTTACATATGTGTCCGACGAGATCTGTCATGTGACGGTAAAAAAATACAGCATGGCGAGTTAACTTTGTTACGTAGAAATCAACTCCGGATACATCGATACTTCATATTCTCGAGTGGCTATAGGGCACGCAAATAGAAAAAAAATCAAAGATTAGGCATTGAAATAGGAAAAAAAAATTAAAGGCTGGACACACGAGCAAAAAAAAAAAAAAAAAAAAATCAATCGTTAGACACCAAAAATGTAGTTTTTTTAAAGAAATTTATTTTAGTTTTTTAACACAAAATGTCTATCTCCTTCGCTATATATATATATCTTTCAATTTTTTTTTAGATATTAAAAATTATATAGTTTTAAATTCTAAAAATATCAACAATTATATACATGCATATTTTCTTATTATTATGCTAATTACCCAATAAATTTTAACAATGCATTTACTTCTTAAATTAATTCACACTTTACTTATTACGTCTATCATTATTTTCATTGCTATCAAAATTATTGCACTTCAAACACCCAAATCAAAAAGTTTAATTACTAAACTTATTCATGTTGATTCTATCTCATTTCACCCTACTATATAAAGTTCAACAAGTTATTAGCTACAAAAAAGCTTATGTCACCCATAATATGTTGATCGATCTTCTCCCTAGATAGATGAAGTAATTTTTGTTTTTTGTAATTTTCTTCATTAATCAACCTTCTGTTTCACAAATGACAATCATAATTAGATCTTATATGTATTTATTTATTCAAGTTTAATCTTAATTCAATTATATATATATATATATATATATATATATATATATATATATATATATATAGAGAGAGAGAGAGAGAGAGAGAGAGAGAGAGAGAGAGAGAGAGAGAGAGAGACTAAATGACATAATATTAAATTTGTCTAGACTGCTAAAAGGGTTTAGAATTTTAAAAAGTAATTTTTAAGCGATATAAAGTACTAAAAAATACATTTGATAATTTTTAAAAAAACACCACAAGCATGATATGAAAAATATTTATGAGAAATTTTTGGACTAATTTTGTAATTTCGAGACAATAAATTTCTTAATAAAAAAAACCTACATTTTCTATGCCTAATCTTTAATTTTTTTTTCACCCTCTATAAATTCCCTATATCAAGGGTACGAATCGATAGTTGAGATTAACACCATTAATTTATATACCGCTTTCTAATGGTAATTATTATATTAAACCAAGCAATCTTCTTAATAGAAAATTAGAGGTTTGTAAATTATTGGCCGACTAATCTATATGAAGGTGGCCCATGAATTAAAAGTTCCTTTACAGATAATTATAGAGTGTCAAAATCTAGATTAAAATAAAATATATAAGACATGATACTTTGTTGTAGAATGATTTGTTTTTCAATTCTTAAAACTTTAATATAATGAAGTTTTTTTCTAAAATTAATGTTAATAATTATTTTAGGATTTTTTGGAGTATAAAAAATATATATGTAATAGAGGAAAAAGGACTAAGATATTAGTGTATGATGAAATAATCGTTTTTGTTAAAAAAAATGAAATAATCATAAGAAAAGAATATTAAATAAATAAGGTATGCTATAATTCGTTATCAAACATTTTAGTTGATGCATTACACTTGTGAACATCAAATTACATATGAGATTTATATGGTTTGATGTACATTATATTTACAGATAATTGAATATTATCATGATAGCTTTTGTAATTAAATCTACTACTTTTTGGGTTAAGTTAAAATCAAATTATTGTTTAATTTTTCATCAATTCTAATAGTCTAACTTTTTGAATCTACTAGCAGGTAGCAGCTCATGTTTAGTGTCACATAAATAAGAGAGAGGAGATTTCTAATGGTAAGAATCAAACTTCGACCTAATGAATAAAAACCATTCTTATCAATCCACCTACAATTTTCAATGATTTTATGGTTTGGTATACTCACAATTAAAATATATTCATTAAAAAAAAAAAGCAAATTGCAACGAGAATCGGTGATGAATTAGTGAATGAGTAACTATTGTTATCAATTTTTAGACATTTTGGTTTAATAGTGATGGAGTATCGACGAATTTACGATGGAACATTTACGTCGTTGATTTACGCGATAAATTTTGGGCATTTAAACCAACGATGGATTATCGACTAATTTGCAATGGTATTTATGATGATATTGGTTATCGCTAAATCCTAGATTAATGTTTTGTTAGTGATGGATGATATTGGTCGTCGTTAAATACCGGATTAAGGTTTTTTAGTGACATGATATTGACCATCGCTAAATACTAGATTTAGGTTTTTTTTTAGCAAGAAATGATATTAACCATTGCTAAATACCAGATTTAGGTTTTTTTAGTGATGGATGATATTGGCAATCGCTAAAACCTAGATTAAACTTTCTTTTTAGCAACGAATGATATTGGTGTTACTTAATATCGGATTTAGTTTTTTTAGTGACGGATGATATTGGTCGTTGCTAAATAATATTTAGGTTTTTTTAGTGACAAAATACGATTTTGTCGCTATAAGAAGAAAAATAACGCAATTGGATAAATTCAAACATCGACAAACACTTATGTATAGTGACGAATTGTGTCTATGTGGCAATAGCCTCTTTCTTCCTCCATTTTCTTCTCCTCCCTCACTTAAAAACCTTCACCGCCCTTTCACTTGTTTCTCTAGCAACCTCACACAATTGATGACGAGGCCTACTCCTCCTTCACGTTCGTTTTTTGGTGTCTAGCTATCTTCTCGGTTAGTGTTTGTTTTCTTATATATATATATATATATATATATATATATATATATTGGTAGTTATTTGTAGTTAATTTAATATATGTTATTTGATGTTAATTAGTTCTAAATCTAATTATTGTTGTTAATTATTTGTGTTAATATAAGTTAATTAGTTGTAATTAGTTGTTGTTAATCATATACTTATTGATAAAAATTAGTAGTAAATATAATAATTTAATTATAATAATTATTTTTATTAGTTGTTAATTAGTTGTGATTATTAGTTTTATTACTTGTTTTTAAGGGAAAAAAAAGAATTTTGATATTAGTTTGTTTGTGTTTTGGGGTTAATTAATTAATATGGCGTATTTAACTTGTTATTTTTAACTTGTAGCACCGATATTCGATTGCAAAACTTTAGGCACCACAATCTTCTCTTTAGATGGTACTTCTATCAATCTAGTTATTTATTTATTTGTTTTTTTTTAATTTGAATTGCGAGTTAATATGTTAATTGTATTTAATGTGATTTAAGTATAGTTGTAGTAAATATGGTAATTTAGAATACTTTAGATTCATTTACATGTTAATATTACTGGTTGAGGACTCGATAAAGTGATTATGGTGTATGTGTTATGTATTTTAGATGTGTTATTTTTTATGCGAGTGGAGTCTTCGATAATTGAAAACTGTCTAATTTATAGGGGAGACTCTGTCAAAATTTTGTTAGATTTTTAGGAAAAAAAATATAAAAACTTAAAATGCAAGTCACATTTAAGTTTGTTAGTTAAGCTGCAGATACTTGTTTGGTTAACTCTTATTCTAATTTCATGTAAGTTAGGATAAAAGTTAAGCTGAATTATCCAAATATGAAAAGTTTGAAAATGCGTTGTCTTTTATAAACACAAATGTTATCGTTATTTGGAATTAATTGAATTATTAATTAAACATTATTTGTCATTTATAAGTAATTGTGTGTTGGCTTAGATATGCGAAGGAAAAAATAAGGTCGGATTGTGCATAGATATAGAAAGGGCTAAAGTCGTTAATCAAGATGATGAGAGTGAATTTAAATTAGAATTGATTAAGGAAGCGGATGGGTTAGATGATGATTATGAAAGTGGTAATTATGAGTACGATAATTATTAGAGGTACATCTAAAATCAAAGTAATTGAATTAAAGAAGAAATGGCCCAGTCCGTTTTTATATAACATACCGAGTCTCTAATCTATCTTTAAGCAAATTTTCAATCTATCATTCTAGTCAATTTTTTTTTTTTTTTTTGGCCAAACTACTTTAAAATATCACATGACTTGTACATGATTTTTTTTTTGCCCTAATAATGCCCATCTCAGCTTAATATGTTAAGTCTATAATATGTTCTTACATAATATATTGAATCTCCAATTTGTCTTTAATTCAAAACAAATGCATATAATTGTGAATTTTTCTAATAATGTATTGAACTATAGTGATTTTTTTTAATTAAACAAAATTATATATGTTAGAGTATAAGTGTTCAAGAAATTGTCATTTAACATATTTTTAATGTAAAAGAGTCCATTGTATTATTGTAATTATTATTATTTTCATTTATGTATAAGATTGAACAAATTGATATAGTATTTAATATTATGTTAAATCATTTTTATAAAATATATATATATATATGAATCGCATGCAAAAATAACTAAATGATAAAAATGTCATTTTGGATTAAAAAACTACATAATTATAATTTAATTGATTGTTAATTAGTCTATTGAGCATGTAATTATTTGTTTAAAATTAAAATTTAGTGAAAAATAATATTGAAAGATTGAATTAGTAAATTAATATCATTATTTTATAGTAAAATTTGCTAGGGTTTGATGGAGGTTAATTGAATTTAAAAATTATTGAGCGTTAAAATCATTTGAGTATATTTTATTTAATCATAACATCCGAAAACCATAAAAATCATATCATTGAATAGATAATAACATAATCATTGATTTATTATTAACCGTGCAAAATACTCCTACAATATCGCATAAGCTATTGTTTCGGACTAATGACAGATTGAAAATTTAATATGTTATATAAAGACAAATTAAGGACTAATGACAGATTGAAAATTTACTATGTTATATAAAGACAAATTGAAGACTTAATATATTAAACTAAGAGAGATAGTTTTGTATATATATGTGTGTGCGCGCTCACGTGCGCACAAATCATGTGATATTTTTAGCTAGTTTGATTGAAAAAATTAATAAAAAAATCGATTGAAAACTTGTTTAAATAATAATGACACAATTAGTTTATTTTATGATATAAAACCAGATCGAAAACACAACAAATTATATAAGAATATGTCATACTATTTTTACTTTATTTAAACCATTCAAACTTTTCGTTACATATTTGTTTGATATACTTATAAAACCAATTATTAATAAAAGAAAATCTTTTGACAGAAAGTTGGTCTTGTGTACCATTAGCTGAGGGAGGACTAAGCCTTTCATCATTCGTATCTATATATTTTTCTTTTGCTTCCAAAGGGTTAATTTAAGTGGTGAGAATACCGCTATTTCAAATTCAAAATTTTAGATTCTAAGACTAAATCATTATCTTATTAGATAGATAGATTGTATGTTTATGTTCAATTATACTTACTTACGGAAATATTCTAAATTTCGATTTCGATTTCAATTTAGATATATATGATGGATCAAGTTTTTCTATATATATGTACTCCTTTTTTTTTAAATCAAAAAAATGATTTCTTTCATTTCCATCCAACTTTTTATAATACATCTTCATATCATGTAACGGAAAAATTATGTTACCATACAGTAACCATTAAGGAAAGTTTTTTGTTTCTTGGTAGTCATTGGTGGAAACAAACATTTCTAAGCGCTACGTGTGGGGACGATAAAGCCAAAATATGATGGCTTGATTATATTAAACAAAACTAGAATGGATTAGTAGGATCCGCATCAGCATAGAAAAGCCGAGGCTGCTAAGTGCTAAGGGTTGACCTTTTAAAGAATTTCTTGTCCCAATCACTACTATGTCCTAAAAGAAATATACAACAATCATATAATCCAAAAAAAAAGTCTAATTTTTTCCTTTTTAATAAGCTGAATTTGTTATGATTGAAATTTATAAAATTAATTGACCTTCCTCAATTTAGCATCTTTTGTTCAAAAAATTTCCTCCTTTCATCCTATATGTTTTTTTTTTGTTTTATCAAAAAATGCTTTGCGACATCATGATAACACACATCATTTCCAAAAATATAAAGTTTTTAAGGACAAACTTAAAAAGTAAAAAAGTTAAATGACATAATACCTCCTGAAATAAAGTACCCAACTTTATTCTCTTCATAGTATCCTTCCAAAAAAACACTACTTTTATAAAATTATGGTGATTTTTTTTTTTTTGGCACGATTGGGATCATGTAGCACTACTTTATATATATATAAGGAAAAATGAAAGCTAAAAAGAGGGTTGGCCAGCCACCGTGCACACATCCAATGAATGATGAAGAAATAAGAAGTATAGGCACAACAATACAAAGTTTCATTCATTGAATCTTTTCATCTTATTAATTGCAGGAAATCCAAAGAAAGCATAGTATTGTATCTTCTTGTGGATGGAATGAAAAGGTACGTATTTGTCTCACCAAAAAAGTGCATAATAATCCCATTCAAGACAAGCAAAAGGAAACTCTCTTCCGACGGAAACTAAAGGAAGGAAGAAGTTAAAAGCTTGAGATCGAGCATACCTAAAATGTTGGATGATTTGTCTTTTAATACGGTGATAAAAACCACAAAAAAAGAAAAAAGAAAAAAAAGAAGCAGATCGGTTCTCTGCATGTTGTCACCGTTTAATATTTAGGACCTCAAAATCAATTTATAAAAAGAAAAGGGATATTTTGGCTGGCTGAGAAGTACTCCCATTTTCCCAGTTGTTTAGGGCATCGTAATGGGAGAAAGTACGAAAGGTGTATTTATCTGCAAAGTTGTTATCCTGATCAGCTGCCTTTTCCTTCGCATCCAAACTTGGATAAACGAGGACATAAACCTTGTACTGCAAATTAAATATGCAGTACAAACCTTAACAACGTTTTCGTAGTCGCTCTCTCAGAAATTAAGAATCTTGAAAAGGAAAAGACAAATCTCAAACAATGATTATTGTTGGTTTTTTTTTTTTTTCAAACCTTACAAATTTTCCCAATTAGATAGATGATCTCCGTTTTTGCATCAAACAATTTTAGATATCGATCAATTTTACCCTCAAATTTTCAAAATTTATCAATTACATAAAAATTTTCATTTATTTTTAAGGTTTTTTAATTCATATTTTCATTTAAATTGTACTTTTCGTTTATGAAAAAATGATTTTTTTTTGTAAAAAACTTGATTTTTTTTTAAATGATTCTAAAAAAAAGTTTGAATTGAAAAATCTAGATGGTCTTTTTGTTAATTGAAAAAACGACGTTATTTTGTAAAAAACTTATTATTGTTATTTTTTTTCCCGAAAACCTTAAATTATCAATTAAAAATTTTCTTCTATTTTTAAGGTTTTTCATTCACACTCTCATTTAAATTGTAGTTTTCATTTATAAGAAACGATGAATGTTTTTTGTTAAATGATTCTAACAAAATTTTTAATTAAAAAATCAAAATAATTTTAATACAAAATTGATGCTACTCTAATAATTTATTAATGATATATTTCGTGTTTTTTTTCTTTCTTTTACAGAACAAATACTTTTAAGTGAACCAGAAGAAGCAACCCTTTTAAAAGGTGCAGGATAAGTCTTTGTCATAAATTTATGAGGGGCTTCATGCTTCCAGAGAAAACATGCTCTGCCTCCAATCGAATCCACCGTCAACTAGGAAAATAAAGCATTAAACCACTTGAATTTGAGGTTTACAGCCAATACCTCCACCTAGCCTTTTTAATAATAATAATATTATATATATATATATATATATATATTGTGCCCTGTCCAAATTTAGAACAGGATGGAAAGGCTTGACATTGATGTTTGGCCTTGGATATTAATGATGACCGTTGTCCATGCCCATGCACTTCTACTGTTCATTGGTGCAATAAAAATAGTTTTGTTACCTCCACCTACATAACGAGAAAGGGATAAACTTTTGGGTAGAAATCTTAAATTCAATTAAAAAAAAAAATTGCAAAAGAGTTAGTTTGACCTTGTCAAGGGTTGTGGTTCATCAATTGGTATAGGGAAATTAATGTTTGCAGGTAAGATATATATATACACACGTTGTTGTTGAAAATTGTTGGACCCAAAATTTGAAATATGATAATTATATACGAGGGTGGAAATAATTGCATGTAAAATACACACGTTGTTGTTGAAAATTGTTGGACCCAAAATTTGAAATATGATAATTATATACGAGGGTGGAAATAATTGCATGTAAAATATTATTATACATTATAGAATATAATTTTTTTTAAATTGTAGAATACCTGTAAAATCATTACAATTAATTACGCAATTTGAAGTCAACTTATCATGACACCACAACAATGATATTAAGGGATATCTTTTTTTTGTTTTTTGCATAAAAAAAATACATTCTAACATTTTTGAAACCTCTAGGCAGATGGTAAGAGGATTTTGCATACTAAATTTGATTTGTGATTAAATTTAAATGTAAAAATACGTTTTAATTTTTTTTTCGAATTCACATTATATTTCGATCTAAGAATTTAGACTAATCTTTCGTTGTTTTGTTAACTATATAAAACAGATACGATTATTTAAAGAGTTTTTTTGTATATATAAAAACTCAAATTCGAAAGTATTTGTTTAAATGATTTAAATTTTTTTATTAAAACTAATTCTCTTTGTTCAAATATGTTGTAGATATACTCCATAATATTTAGAAAAACCTTAAAGTTGTATTTTTCATAAAATTTTAATTGCAATAAGTAGTCGTATCAGTTGTAGAAGTAGAAGAACAAAGATTTAACCGAGCTAGAATCTCTTAGAATAAAAATACATTAAAGGATGAAATTACATAATCATGTTTTTTATTCTTCGATCTTTCCACACGTGATTTCAATAATTTGGTCAGAGGTAAGAATATGCACCTTTATTTAATTTTTTTTCTTCGTAGATTTTGTTTTAGGTAAGGGAATAGTATATAACTTTTCCTTTTATAGTGCAAAAGATGTTCCGAATTAATGTCAAAAGTCAAGATCCTTACTCTCTTTAGTCATTTGCCAACCTCAATATCAAAAGTAGAAAGGAACAGATCTTATAGCATAAATAATAATGGATAGCAAAAGCCAATCAGCCGTAATTGCCATTTGCCAATCCCATCTCTCTCTCAAACACAATGCAAGATTGATTGATATAGAAAGAGACTTAATTTATGAAATCTGAGATTGTAGTTTTTTAATTAAAATTACGTAATGGGGAAAAAATACTGTTAGATAAGTTAAGACTCATTGAGTTTTCCACTAAACCAGTAATAATAATAAAACAAACAAACGATAAGAGATTTATTTTCAAGTTTCTAGTAATGTTTTTGGAAGTTTGGCTAATTATATTCGTCAAAACTATACAAAATCACGTGGTTTGATAGAAACGATATTGTTTCCACCTAAATGTTGTTGTTTATTGATCAAATTTTTTGTTTGTGAAAGATAAAAATATCTTTGCGTAATTTTTCAAAACGATACAAAATCATATACGTTTTTAACTGATATGATGTGATTTCATAGTTAAATATAAATGGTATACTTAAAACCCTAAGGACCGGATGACATCCTCGCCTGAAAATCTTAAGAAATGGTAATGACTTGTGATTAGTTGCAAGTTGCAAGTTTTTTCTAGATTCAGTTTAGGTAAGAAACTGTTCCATTTCCAAAAAGTAAAGGAAAAGCTCGCATTTAATACAAAACGACAAGTCGAAAAATTCACTTGAAATAAAAAGTTGAATAAGTAGTACCGGTTTCTGTGGAAAATCCCTTCAACTTGCACATTGAATATTATTATTCCATAGCTCGCAAATTTCCAACTAATGCCACCGTAATACCCTTCTCTTGGGAGTTTGAGGCTCCAATCCCATCTGGAGAGAGATACAACGACAGAGACTTAAAGAGTTTTTGTGCCTTCTGAAGAGAGAGAAAGAGATAGCTGGGAGTTTCTGTTTTTTTTTTCTTTGGAGTGAGAGAGAGAAGGACAGCAGCCAGTTGAGATTTGTTTCTGTTTGCCACCAAATTAATCTTTTCTACCGGACCTTCAAATCGTTGTGCCTCAAAAACTCCAAGTGGGTCAGTCTTTCTTGTTTCTGGAGGTCCTACTCTCCCACTTGTTGGTCTTTGGCTTTGCTGTCTCTCCGCTGCGTCTCTTACCTTTCCTTGTTTCCAACCTTAACCCTCCTTAAGACCCTTTCTTCTCTCTTTTCTATGTACCATCTTTCCTAACCAAAGAAAGATCCATTCTTTACTATCTTGGTATTGCTTTATTCTTGTTGGAGGCAACAAAGATCAATTCTTGTTGGTGGAATAGTCTTTGTTTGGGTATTGCATGCGAGTGGGCAAGGAGTTTTGAGTTGGAACTTTTGTTTCTTTATGAAGTAAGGGTGTTGCCGTTCCTTGGAAAGCTTTTTTCTTTCAATTAAAGCATCTGGGCATTCTTGATAATGGAAAAGCTGAACTGGGTATTGCTTGAAATGGTTATTCTAAGCTTATTGGATTTGATAGGTTGATTTAGGGTCAGTTAATGTTGTGGGGTTTGAGGCTATAGGTGCCTTTTGGATTGGTTTGAACTTAATTTGTGTTTCTATTGGTTGTGTTGTACACTTTTAGTGATTTAGATTTGATGCTTGGTCCAAGACAATGGAGAGGTTTATGGCCAGATTTTTATTTTTTTACCATTGAACAATTGGTCAAATAATATGAAGAACTTTCTTAAGAAGCTCCATATCATGCCTAATCAATCAGAGGATGCAGAGGGCCCAAATTCATCAAGATGCAATAAGTCTAGTAATGAATCATCCCCAGATAGTAAGCTTTTGCATTCTAGGTCACAGGAGAATAAACCTCTCTCTGGTCTTTCAAATTGGTTAACTTCGGTTGCTAATAGAAAAAGTCCCAGTCCACCGTCATCTTCAAATGTGACTAGAGGAGAGAGAGTGGAGCAACAGGAGTCGATTAGTAGTAGTGGTTTTGATGTTGTTTCAGAAGCTGCAAGGCGTGATTCAGGGTCTACCACCTCCAGGGATCCTGATATCGAGGAGGAGTATCAGATACAGATTGCTTTGGAGTTGAGTGCAAGAGAGGATCCCGAGGCAGTTCAAATTGAGGCTGTTAAGCAAATAAGTTTGGGCTCTTGTGCACCTGAGAATACTCCTGCTGAAGTCATTGCTTATCGGTACTGGGTAAGTTTGTCTCTTCATTTCCCCCTTCTAATCTCTTTAAACTTTCCTTTTTGATAGTCTAGACACAGTAGAAAGTTATGAGGAATTTTTTTGCTTAACAGCTACTTGTTAAGTCAACTCCTCTATGATACAATGGTTTGAGGAAAATGTGTATGAATGGAACTTATTCATTAATTGTTCTCCTGACAATTTTTGTATTGCCAGTAAATTTATCAAAATTGTTTCTATGAATTAATTTGTTTCGGACATAATGATAATGCTACTGCGAAAACAAGAGAAGGAGAGAAAAATGGCTGATGAGGGTGCCATTATTAGAAGTCCTATGTTCCTGTCTTCATCCTTTCGAGTATCTGCAATTAAAGGAACATCTGAAATTATCAACCTGTAGTATCATTATGGTACCATAACTAATGCTGTTGAAGGTTCACAATAATGCTCCTCTGTATTATTAACTTTAACCAGTTGGAAACCAGAAATAGTGGACAGATCACGACTTACACAATTTAGAAAATCTGAAAGATTTAGGTACATATGAAAGAAGTAAAGGTAAGGAAGAACGAGTAGGGGCTTTTTAACTTTCATTGAGTTAGTGGAGATTACAAAAGTGCTGGTAGGAGGAGAAAAAGTGGAGGAAATGGAAAGCCACATCCTTCTCAATTTGGTATTATAAGTGAAGCTATGGTGATAAAGACAGGAGTGTTCTTGACGATTGACTGTTTAGTTTCCTCTCTCCTTACTGGGCATTTATTAGTGTGTGAAGTTGGTTCCTTCAACTCCTCTTTTGTGTTCATATTTTAATGAGATCAAGGACTTCAAATAGTGCCTATTTTGGTCCTGTAAGACATTATCTTCTTGGAATACTCATTGTCAAGGAGACAATTGATGGTTTTGTTCTATAAATTGAAAAACTCGGTTTTGAATATTGTAGTAATGGAGGGAATCTATATACATGTAAGGATTAGTGCATGCTATTGGCCTATTGTCACTGAAAAATCAACGAGGAAGATGTCAGTGCTTTCCCTATGTTACTTTTTCTCCACTTGGAAAACATAGCAAAGTTTAATGTTTCTCTTTTGATCATGACCTCTCTTATCTTCTTATTAAACCTGGTCTGCAGTCTCTAGCTTTGGAATCATATCTCATTTTGCTATCCACAGAAGATATTTGTAGACTAATAGGAAGTTTATATGATATACACTAGGTTTATTCCCTCAGTTGAAACTCTTTTCTCGAACTTAATTTTTCATATATTTATTCCTTTCTAACCAATCTCATATCGTAGATTTATGCATGCTTCACAGAATTACAATGTTCTTAGCTATGATGACAAAGTCTTGGATGGTTTTTATGACCTGTATGGAATCATGACCGAGTCCACATCAGACAGAATGCCTTCTCTTGTTGATTTGCAAGGAACGCCAGTCTCAGATGGTGTCACCTGGGAAGCAGTGCTGGTCAATAGGGCTGCTGATGCTAATTTGTTGAAACTTGAACAGAAGGCACTAGAGATGGCTGTCAAGTCAAGGTCAGAATGTCGAGTTTCCATGGGCAGTGCTTTGGTGCAAAGGCTTGCTGTTTTAGTTTCTGATTACATGGGTGGATCGGTAGGGGATCCCAGCAATCTGTCAAGAGCATGGCAGAGTCTTAGCTACAGCTTGAAAGCAACCCTTGGTAGCATGGTTTTGCCACTTGGTTCTCTTACAATTGGCTTGCCTCGTCATCGTGCCTTGATGTTCAAGGTACTGCTTCAGTTTTCATTTTTTATTTTAGTACCAGATACACCTAGTCTAGGATGCTAATATAACTTTGAGGTAAATGGTGTACTTCTGCAGACATATTTGAAAATTTTTTTGGACAATTTGACAAAGTTTGTGCTCGAGCATTTTACCATCTCATATTGAGCTCACTCCCTCACTATGCTACATTCTTCAAGCATCCAACAATGAGTCTGTGCTGCGGGAGAAATGTTTTCAATAGTCATGACAGATTTGTTGAAATCAAATAAACTGAACTGGACAGGTCCTTGATTTTTGAACTCCAATATCTATAATGCTCCTCATTTACACAGTTTGGCGTTGGCATATCAAGTCTATCCATAACAAACTTCGATAAACAATCTCTATCAGGTACTTTAGGAAGTGGCCTACAAAGCACATTTATTGCGTAAAGTTAGTCTCCAACCTCTTCAAAGATGGGTATAATTATTTGGTGTATTTACCAACACATGGATATTCATGCTAAAAGGAAATACTCACCCTGAGATAAGCTGATTGGCCTTGGCACCAGTGAGCCATTCAATTGTATTCTCATCCTTAATGAAGCTACAGAAAATCAAATTTGTTGATAGAAATCCTGGTTTGCATCTTCTGAAACCAAGCATAAGGAAATATGGTGTCTTGCATTGCAGAAGCAAAGCTGCATCCTGTGAAAGGCATTGGCAGTGCTGAAATCCTCTGAGGTTTTGCATGGCTTGTCTTGCTGAAGCTGTAGTCGCATCTTTTTCGTTAGGAAGCATTTACAGCGTGTAATGCAGCAGTTCATGTTCAATGTCATTTTTTCAAGAGAGCAGGGAAAATTTATACTGATCAAGATTCCCTTTCATGTTTTGTTATATGCTGAAAAGCATGCCTATGAATATTTACTTCATGTATCCTCCACATGTTAGTGTTTGAAAATTCATGGACATAGTACTGATATAGTCTCCTGACCAGTTGATGTTCTTCATATTCATGAGCTTTAATTTCACATATTTCTTCAAAATTCTTGTTTGTGAGATTGATCGTACTGTTTAGAAACATGGTATCATACTAATTGCCTCTCATCTCTTCCTTTTGCTTTCCATGATTATGTAGGTTTTGGCTGATAGTGTTGGCATACCATGTCGGTTGGTAAAAGGGCATCTGTACACTGGTTCTGATGATGTGGCTATGAACTTTGTAAGAATCAACGATGGAAGGTAACTACCGTTACAATACTTTATTTTGTTTTCCTTTCAGTGGTGAAGTTTCTTAAAGATATTCTGCTGGATTGTTTAGGGTTTAGCTTCATATCTTTACTGTGCTGTAAAACAGAACATGATTTGGTATGCAATTTGAGGTGCTTTACTCTCTGATGCTTCTAGTCGATAGTTATTTTTAAATGCAGATGAAGCTATTAGATTGTAGTTCTTCAAACTTGCTTATATGAGATTCCTGTACAAGAAAACTTCAGCAGGTGGCACATATGGTTTTGCATTAGGTTTCTTACGATGTTTTTGCATTTATTTAGTTGTTAGTATTGATTGTAAATTGTATGGATCACAAAATGGAAATTGCCTCTAAAATTTCTAATATTTCGATTGAAATGCTTAAAAAAAAAGTTTTTAAGGTGATAGATGTTGTGAATTTCAGGGAATACATTGTTGATCTAACAGCAGATCCTGGCACACTTATTCCTTCTGATGCAGCTGGATCACATATAGAATACGATGAGACATTCTTTTCTTCCAGTCCTTTATCTAGAGACATTGACTCTTCTCATGCAGCTTCTTCTAGTAGTGGACACGCAAGTTCATTTGAAGAACATTCAGAACCTGGGACATTGGAAAAGCGATCCAGATTGAGAAATATTGCTGCTTTAGGGAACCAATCTGATGGAAGAGGTGAATCTTATGAGGAGGCAAGTTTAACTAGGCTGAGTAAAGGTGAAGAAGAATCTACAATGTCTTCAGATGATTTGGGAAAAACTTCCGATGCTGAGAAGGTGCCAGTGCGGGAGCTTCCTGGCAGATCTATTTACCCTTATACACATGCACATGCACGCTCTCCTTCTTGGACTGAAGGTGTTAGTTCTCCTCATGCACGAAGAATGAAGGTGAAAGATGTTTCACAATATATGATTGATGCTGCAAAAGAGAATCCACAGTTAGCCCAGAAACTTCATGACGTATTGCTTGAAAGCGGTGTTGTTGCCCCCCTAACTTGTTCACTGAAATTTATGCTGAACAGTTAGATGTGTCTACTGCTGAGGCGAAGTCCCCGACAGAAGATAAGGATGATCACAAACAGAGGACTGAAGTCCTATATGTGAAGGATCAAGATGAACCTGTTCCTGCTCGATTTTTGCCTCCTCTGCCTCCACACAGGCTGTCATATAAAGCCAGTTCACCTGGTAATCAACCTGAGCAATCTAAACCTGTGGAAGGTTTAGGGGTCAACCATCCTTTTGATACGATGGAGATTACTGGACTACCCAAATTATTGCAGTCTGAAGTTACTCCTGCGAAATATGTAAAAAACGTTCCTGTGGCTGCTGCAGCCGCTGCCGCTGCAGCTGTTGTTGCGTCTTCTATGGTTGTTGCTGCAGCAAAGTCAAATACTGATTCAAACCTCGAATCTCCTGTAGCAGCTGCTGCCACTGCTACAGCTGCAGCAGTGGTGGCAACCACTGCAGCTGTCAACAAGCAATATGATCAGAGTGCACGAAGTGACGGAGATGCAGATAGTGCAGGTTATGAGCTACGGGGTAGTGGGGGCTGTGGTAGTGGAGGACGTGGCAGCGGGGGCCATGCAAGTGGAGGCCGTGGTAGTGGCAGCCGAGAACGCGATGCTTTGGGTGCCAATTTAGAAGGCGAGAGAATATCTGACAGATTGGCTGGCAATGATAACTCAATATCTGACGCTGCCATGGATGATGTTGCAGAGTGTGAGATTCCATGGGAGGAAATTGCCGTGGGTGAACGTATTGGACTTGGTACTGCCGTGTGCAAATGCTGCTATTTTCATGTCTTCATATCTACTGTCAATCTTGATTACTGTACTCTCAGTTAGGTTTCTCTGATTGCTTTGGTGCATGCTTTGTGTTGCAGGATCTTATGGAGAGGTATACCGTGGAGACTGGCATGGAACTGTGAGTATTTTTCTGTAGATCCTAAAAGCTAAGCTTGTTTGCTATCTCTATGCTGCATTCATGTGCTAGAAAGACAATAAATAGCTTATTGTTACTGATTTTTTGGAATGGTATACAAAATAAATAATGCCAGAACAAGTGTTGTTGAATTCGAAAAAATTCTTTTTCTCCTTTTCTTTCCTATAAGCTAAGAGAAGAATTGGGGTGGGAGGGGCTGGTGGCACCACATGCTATGCAGCCCCAACAATAACAGCTACAATTTGACCAATTTAAAATAAAATTGGGACCAACAATCTATAAAACCTAAATATGAAGGCCAATTTAAAATAAAATTGGGACCAAAAATCTATAAAACCTAAATATGAAGGTTTTACCTAATTGGCATAATTCTATGAAGTCATATTACACCCTTTAATTGCTTTTCATGTTAGGAAATTAGGTCCTCTTAAAGTCTTATAAGATTCTCATCAGTTTTGGGAAAGGGAATCCTAGGAAGCAAGTTTTTCTAAAAGGGAAAAATTTGCAGTGAAGTTTGACAGCTGGGATTTCATTATTGTGCCTATCAGTGGCTCATAGATAAAAGTAGTTCTACTGAACAGAATATCTGCTAACGATCATAAATACTCCATCCCAATGCTTACTAATGAAAATATATTGACTTTGTTTTGTCTCTTGTATTTCGTAGGAAGTTGCTGTGAAGAGGTTCCTAGACCAAGATATTACGGGTGAATCTCTTGCAGAATTCAGAAGTGAGGTACAAGCCCACTCTGTTCTAGCTGTAGTCTTAGTAATTCACTCATTTCATATCATCCAAAGCAAAGCATAGTTTATAAGGCTTGCAGTTGAAGATGTGATAACCATGTTATAATATATATACTATAAAAAAATATCTGGGTGAGCATGAACATTATGTCTCATTATTGCATGATATAATGCAGCATCCCAGGTATCTATTACTATAGATGATTTAGGTCAGCAGTCCTGCCAATTGATCGTATTGTTATTTTCATATCCTGTAGGTGATCTGAAGAAACTATTCTAGTTTGATTACATCCTCCAGCAACTTAAGGATAGTTTGACACTTTGTTATGTTGATGCTATAGGTTTGTGCACATATTCACAAAAAAAATTGAATATTATGGGATAATCTCCTAGATGCCGCATTGACATTGCAAATCATTATATGGATATAGTACCCTCTTTTAAATTTTTTTCTTGTCTCCAATACTTGGGCAACAAAGGGTTTGTTCCAATCATTAGCCTTCTAGTCTGAGATCTTTGGTACACCTTTACCTGCTAACAGTTAAATCAGTGAAAATTTTCTGTGACGGATTTCAATGCTTTGTTTGGTGTGCTATCACATTATGGAAACTCTAGTCATTGCATAAAATATATCTTGGCTGGATTAGATGCCATGATTACTGGTCTTTCATATGTGTGTGTAGAGAAGATTTTGGCAGGCATAAATGATGATATGCTTCGCTTCTCTAGCCAAATTACTGAGCATTACAAATTCTATGCTAATGTTGGCTGCTTCAAATTCATCTTTGCAATTATATTTAAAAAAGGTCCATTTTGCACATTAAGGATATGTTTAATATTTTAAATTTTTATGCTGAAATACTTTTGGTTTGCATGATTCTAGTGTACCTTTCTGTTTAGAATTCTCAGTGAGCTGTTTTTAAGTTTTAAGGTGTAGCCATGTCATGTTTTGCATCTGACCATTTCTTTCTCTCTTTACATGTTAGCAAAATCTTTTCATACTTCTTAATAAGTTTTCCTTAAAATATGTACTGGAAATATGAATTTAGCAAATCTGCTCATTTGAATTGCTAGGTTCGAATCATGAAGAGACTCAGGCATCCCAATGTGGTTCTCTTCATGGGAGCAGTAACTCGTGCCCCAAATCTTTCAATTGTTACAGAGTTTCTTCCTAGGTATGTTGGTACTCTATAACTTCCATGTTCATAATTTATCTCAAATAATATCATCTGCAAGTGATTATTTGAATTTTTATTAATTGTTAATGAAACTTTCTGGGGGGCCATTACTTGGTCCAATGATAACAGTCTTCCACTTGAAATCGTAATGTACGGGTTTGAGTCTTGAGAGCAATCAATTTCATGCAAGCATGATAAAGGTAGGACTGTCTCCAAATTCTCCATCCCGAGAGCCCATGTATGTGGTATAAGCCCATTGAAAAGACAGATATGATTTATTTGGGTGCGTGATGCAGGAAAAATAGCACTTCTAATGATTTCTTGACCTGATATGCTAAATTTTGGTTTAAAATGCAAATCTTATGATGCTCAAGCACTTTGGTAGTTCATTGTTCCATTAGAACATGTTTAAATTCTGATAACAAATGAGGCTGTAGCAAGATGAAAAGCAGATGCCAACACTGAATGCTTTTAAAACAACTGAGATTCATCAGAAGAACTTGAATAGGATCGGCTGGTTTAAAGCACGTATGTGGTTGTATATGCTCAGCAGACTTGTTTATTTGTCACTGGAACTTTCATGTTTTCAGTTTTTTTTCCCTTAGTCAAACTCATGGTAGTCTTTTTCTTGTAATCTGTATTCTAGTTTATTGACAAGATTTCAATAAGAGTTGCGGGCCTTTGCCTTTGAGTTATGAGTTGTAGTTTTTCCATACCAAATATTTATGTTAGTTGGTGTATTCAAGCATGCCAATGTTTTGCAGAGGTAGCTTGTATAGATTACTTCACCGGCCTAACAATCAATTGGATGAACGGAGGCGTTTGAAGATGGCCCTCGATGCTGTATGTTTTTGTTAATATTGACATATATTCAAATATCAGATGCTATAAATTTTATTTATCCTGTTGAATTCATTGGAGATTCTCACTTTTGCATATTTGAACTCGTTCAGGCTCGGGGAATGAATTATTTGCACAACTGCACACCAATGATAGTACACCGTGATTTGAAGTCCCCAAATCTTCTGGTTGATAAAAATTGGGTACTGAAGGTGTGTATCTTTTCAACAAGATCTTTGAAAAAACATTTGAAATATCTTGCATGCATTTATTATCTCCCAAGTTTCACGCAGCATGACTTGAAACTTGTTTGCCTTTTCATTTTATTGTTTAGGTATGTGATTTTGGGTTATCGAGGATGAAGCACAGCACATTTCTCTCTTCAAGATCAACTGCAGGAACGGTAAGCTGTGCCAGATTAATCTTTACCCTTCTCTCTCTTAGCTTTGTATTATTTCTTTATGTGTGTATGTGCAGAAGTAAGTACTAGCATTTTGCCCATGCATCACATGGATTTATATTTTAAAATATGGCATTGTAATGATTATATGAGGTTGTTCACTAACAATGTTTTTTATTATACTGAAGGATTTGTAAAAAAATATTAAAATGTGTTAGGAATAATTATCTTCTTATCTAAGAGCACTAATGAATTTTTATTAGTTGAGTAAGATCTGGACTTGTAGTTTTTTTGGTCTCAGAACAATTTGCATGTGATAGAAGATGAATAAAGAGAAATAAATTCTAAGCATTGGTGTGTTACATGTTGACACCAAAAGGCACATCTGCTATGCCACTCACATATATTAATATTTTTCTTGCAATCTGGTTCCTTATTTCCAATAATCACCTGTTGGTATTCTTTTATTAGAACTTCCAGTCTTAAAAATTTAAATTCCTCTTACATACTTTTCAGGCTGAGTGGATGGCTCCAGAAGTGCTAAGAAATGAACCTTCAGACGAAAAGTATGCAAATATTTCTAATATTTGTTTTGAACTTACACAAACTTTTCATTATATGCTTGTATTAAAGTAAGAATATGCAGGTGTGATGTTTATAGCTTTGGGGTTATATTATGGGAGCTCTCTACAATGCAACAACCATGGGGTGGAATGAACCCAATGCAAGTTGTTGGTGCTGTTGGATTTCAACATCGCCGTCTCGACATTCCAAATGATATGGATCCAGCAATTGCAGATATTATTAGGAACTGCTGGCAGACGTGAGTATTTTGGTCCTTTTATCCTCACTGTTCTACATACACCTGATTTCTTCTTTTGCCAGTTTGATACCATGGTCTGCAAACATGCATTGGTTTATATTTTTGGTTAAGAGTTAAACTAGGGAATAAACAGTTTGTACTTGTGAAAGCTATACTTATCCTAATGAAAACTGGTGGCTCTGCTGAACATATTGTAATGAATTTCTTTAGAGAATATCAGGTGTTGGGTCCAAAGCAGCGGCTTCTGCTAAAGATATGACATGCAATTTTACTCTAGATATGTTCTCTATTTCTTTAGTTACTTGAATCGATATAAAATTGGCACTTGACGTTCCTTAAAACTGCAGAGATCCAAGATTGAGGCCAACATTTGCAGAAATCATGGCTGCGCTGAAGCCATTGCAGAAGCCTATAACTGGTTTGCAATTGCCCAGACCAAGTGCATCACTGAGAAGTCGTCAGCTGTCACAAGAAGCTGAAGACCAGGCAGGCTAGCAGAGCAAGTTAGTGGCTAAATTGAACATTAGCTCATTGGATTGCCAAAATATGGAGGCAAATCACAGACTGTTTGGGACAGGAATGAGAGAGAGATTGGTCGAAGACCAGAAATATACTTCGATTTGAGATGATTGTGATTCTTTTTCTATGTTTTTTCTCTTGTTTTATATTCTTGTTCAGCCGTTCTCAAGGTTGTATATTTGTTTGTAAAAATTAATTTGAAATTGCGGCAGTCGATGTTTTGTTCTTCTTTTTCTTTTCTTTTCCCGGCCAATACACTGTATCTCAGAAAACTTCATGAACTGGAGAAGCAACGCGTTAACTGTAAACTAGTTTTTGTCCACGGAAGCTGAGGCAAGATCTGCATAAAAATCAGACGGCAAGGGCAATGATCACAAGGGAAAAAGTTGTTGCCAACATTTGGCAATCCCAGTTGAGCAAAATGGAGTTGTTATCAGTCAATGCATCTAGGTGACTCGGTGCCTTGAACAACACCACGGTCTTGGCACAGTAGCGTTGTTCTTGTTAGAGATTAGTGCCTTGAACAACACCACGGTCTTGGCATAGTAGCGTTGTCTTTGTTGTTTTTGTTAGAGATTAGTATAAATTATATTTTAGAGTTTCATTTATAAGATTAAGTTTTTTTAGGTGGGATGATTCTGGGCGGTCCTTTGATAGTTCTGAGTAGCATATTTGGGACCCCAAGTCCATTGCAGCGGTAAAATGCTTAGCAGTCAGCAAATCGACTTTTACAGTCCTCAATGTTCTTTAGTAAAAGTCGCATTAGTGCAATAATGGCCATGGTTGATTTGATGGAGATTAAACGCATTGGGTCTCAAGACATTTTAGGACTAACTTGTTTTTTCACAGGTCCCAAAGGCTGGTATATTACGGAGACAAAGGAGGTGGCGGCGGCGGCAAGATCACAGGATTGGAAACAGGAAAGCTAAGCTATTCTCTGATGCTTGAAACAGGGATTAATCTGACCAGGGGTGGCATTGGCGCCTTCCCCAACCACCAAAGTTTTAAAGAATTGAAAATTTCAAAATTCCCCTTCTTCTTCGTAACTTCTCATGTAGTGGCCACCTCAAAATGAAAATGGCACTACATTCTATATTTGTCCTTGCAGCGAAAGAGATACTGATCAAATCCGTAGCTTCTGCTCTACCAATCTATCAAGCTTCCTAATAGTTTATTAGAGGAGGCCAGTTGAATGATTGCTAAATTCTGGCAGGCTCACGAGTCAGGAAAAATGGACACAGTGGTTAAGTTGGAAGTCTCATTGTGAGGTTATGCACGAATCAACCCTCCCTTCTCTACAGCACATTTAAAAGCAGATTTTGCAGTCAGTTTTCACGGTGGCTTGGGTGATTGTTTACTTTGTGACAAGGTGTAAGGAAGCTGATTCATGTGGAAGAAGGTTTGGGAGGAAAGAATTAGAGGTATTGATTGATGGCCTTAAATGATACTCTTATAATCATTTGTCATGAGATGGAATTAAGTCCCACCTGCTTCTTCTGCTACTAATCATGATTTTTTTTTTTTAATCTTTTCTAATTTTGTAACTTGTAATTGCAATCATTATTCTTTTCAGTTTCTGAATATTCAGATGTTGGTAATGAATTAATGGTATAGATTATTATAATCAGGCATGAATTATAAGTGATTTCATCACGAGATAATATATAACTAGAGTTGATGTGGTTGATCATGATATAAACGAAGGTATGTTGATTTCTGTCATGAGTTTGGATATTGCTTTAGCCATTTAATTTCTCAAAGTTTGTGATTGCTTTCTTTGTTTTCTTTCCTTCGTGAAATGAAATAGAGTACATCTCCTTGATGAACCTTCATCAATAGGATAGATGAGTACTTGCCTCTGAAACGAGGAAAACCCTGTTGATGTTCAAGAACTCATTGTTCATCGCCTCCAACCACATTCCACATTCTTAATACCATTGATACATTCATTTAACATTTTGGATAGATAACTTGCAATTGACATATAACAATCCCACAACCAAAAAAATGGAGTGACAGATGTTCAAATGTAAAAAAATGGAGCTTTTCTATGGATTATACGAAATTTAAGTTCTATCACACAGAGAGACCCCCCTTTAAATTCTATCACATAAAAGGATAAGGTAGGGACCAACTATTTCTCCTTGCAAAGAATCACTTTTTTTTCTTTCTTCTGTCTCACATCTTAACATCTTTAACCGATTAAGGAACTATCCTTGGAGACAAAAAGATGGCCACCTTCTTTGGGTCTCCACCATTTCTTTCCCATCCACTAACAAGAACTAACTTTTCTTCATCATCACAACCACCTCCTCCTCCCACCCCACCTATCCCACCATCACAGCCAAATCCATCTCCACAGCTAAGTACAAGTTCATCTGAGCAACCACAAGCACCAGCCTCAGTTGAAGTGCAACAGCAAAAGCCAAATAAACCTGCTGGCACTTCTGCTACCAAGGTTGACACCACTGACTGGATAGCTTCCACGTTAACTAGGCGGTTCGGCCTTGGTGCTGGCCTAGCATGGGCAGCCTTTCTTGCAGTTGGTGTGGTTTCAGAACAAGTTAAGACCCGCCTAGAAGTCTCCCAGCAAGAAGCAAATACAAGGTCTGTAGCAAAACTTTTCTGCCAATCCATCATTATTTCATTGGGTTTGACCTTTTTTCATACCGATTTCCCCAATTGTCCAGCAAGGAATTGAAAGTTATTATAGATACAACATAAATTCAGAAAGTAGGGTGATTTTAATGCCTTGAGAATTGGTGAAATCAGAAGATTATAGGTTCAACACTTTCAAAAATACTGATTCTGATTACCATCTAGAAAGAAAATTCTGCCAACATTAATTCCACACAGTTGAAACCAGTACCAATTTGAAATATTTGGCATAATGACATGCCATTGTGCGATTTCTACTTGCCTATGCACAGGGCAGTAACTAAAACCCCAATGCATAACTTTAGGAACCATCAAATGGCTGAAATATACTGCTAAGTTTCAGTAATGATTAGAATGAGAGAGCCCAACTATTTGTATCATAGTCTTGAAACCATGCTGCTGCTAACCAGATTCAGTCTTTTACAGAAATGTCGAGAAGGAAGAGGAGGTAGCTTTGCCTAATGGCATAAGGTAATTGTTTCAAACTCCAATATGGCCCTTGAAATTATATTTACTTGTCCTGAAATTTATTGCACATGCGTTTAAAACAGGTACTATGAGTTGAAAGTAGGCGGAGGAGGGGCTTGTCCAAAGCCAGGGGACTTGGTGGTGATTGATCTCAAGGGGAAAGTTGAAGGGAGTGGAGAAGTGTTTGTTGATACATTTGGTGGTGACAAAAAGCCATTGGCTTTAGTAATGGGGTCAAGGCCTTATAGCAAGGGAATGTGTGAAGGTATAGACTACGTTTTGAGATCAATGAAGGCTGGAGGCAAAAGGAGAGTTATAGTTCCTCCTAATCTAGGGTTTGGAGAGAATGGTGCAGATTTAGGCAATGGTGTGCAGATTCCACCATTTGCAACTCTTGAGTACATTGTCGAGGTTGAGAGAGTTTCTATTGCACCAGCTTAAATGATCTTGACCCGGTTAATGCACTCAGTTTCTGCTTCAATATTTCATAAACTTTTCCTAATTTGTTTGAGCATATATATATATATATATATTCTTTCTTAACTCCAATCCCCAAATCCACAATTCCAAATATCAAATTAAAAACAAATTGAAATCTTTGAAAACTTGAAAGAGGCACAATCTGTAAGGGCAAACTTTGTCCTAAATAGAACTATTTTAGAAGATAATTATTAATTAACTTTTTTTTTTTTCAAAAGACTCTTGAGTATTAAATTACATAATATGAAGTAGTGTTTTTCTATAGCAAAATAATTAAATAAACTAGAATTATAAAGATTCGAATTTTTTTATTCAAAAAAAAAAAAATTGGCTAGTACATAAGCAATAGGCTAGAGCCGCTTGTGTTATTAATTAACCTTTAGTGAATCTATAAGGATAAAAAAGAAAGTTCAGTCAACACATGGTTATAACAATAACATCGTACAAGTTCAAGAAGCTTAGTTAATCTCCTTGCAAAAGAACTAAAAAAAAAAAAACACATCATTATAGCAATAACATCGTACAAATTCAAGAAGCTTAGTGAATCTCCTTGTAAAAGAACAAAAAAAAAATAATAATAATAATTAGTAGTAGTTGGAACTAAAAGTGAATTAAGATAGAGACAAATGTGATCAGTTTGAAATGGTCCCATCGCCAAAGGCCAAAATGAGGAATACGTAAAGAATTGAAAACTTTGAATGCCTAAAAACAAAACGGTGTTCAAATCCCAACCACACAATAAGGAATCAGCTCTCTCTTACAATTCGCACTTTTGTATGGTACAAAAAAGGAGGAAAATTCAGAAACCCAAAAATACGCTTGAAGGTTGACAAACGAAGCTGAAAAAAAACCAATCTTTATAGATAGAAGTAAACTAAACTAAACTAAACTGAACTATAGTGTATTGCAACGTAATCCCACCAAAATGGGAACCGTTATAGACTCCCATTTTCTAGCGCTCACTGCCATCGTCACTGTAAGTCCATCTCCCTCTATCTTTCTGTGTTTCTTCAATGTTGGCTTAATCTTTCTAACGTTAATATTTTTATTTTTTTGTAGGTGGGATACCAATTGCTGTTTTTCGTTATCACTGCCCTTCTGAAGTTTGATAAAGTCACTGATTTTGCTGGTATTTTTACTTTCTGGACTTCAATTTCCAAGCTTTTCTCGAGAATTCTGTTAATGGTTTGTTAAGAAATTTAGCCTTTTATGTTGTCTTTCATCATTTGGTTGTCGATGAGTTTGCGGCAAAATGGAAGGACTTGATGAGTAAAGTCATATTATGAAGTTGTTAATATAATTTGATGTTGGTAATTACGTAATGTTTTCGGAAATTGATTCTGGTTATTTATCTCAGGAAGCACAAATTTTATTATACTAGCTGTGTTGACTCTGGTTTTGAAAGGGACATGGCACTTCAGACAGGTAAATGTCTCTCCTCCTTCTGAGCTTATAATTATGTGACAATGTTGTATCACTCTTTGACGGATGAAAATGTTATTATGCTATAAGACTCAGTTGGAGTCCTTGATCATCCTAAACTCAATTGGTTGATGATGTGATCTGCGAAGCATTTTATACCCCAATATCCACAATTTGTTCAATGAAAATTTATTGTTTATATCCTTCTTCCTTTCAATTTTACTAAAAATCCTGCTGTCCTTTGATTACACGCATGCAAACAGAGATATGCTAAGAATTGCTTTAACAAGACTCCCAGCGATGCGAGATTTGTAAGGTGTAAAGAGTCCCCTATTTTATTTAGCATATCTTGTATGATATAAATACTGGGATTTGATATGCTGATTGATTTGAAGTGATCAGCTACATGGATTCCACATTCCTGTTTGTGAACCTCTAGCTTTGTTCTATTCTGTAATTTTTCTGGGCAAAAATTTTCTACAGTGTTATCGTAAATTCAATATCTTGCTACTTTATTTTTACTCTGATCCTGCCCTGTGTTTTTTAGAATATAACCTCCCACGTTTATGATTTTGCTGCTCTGTATTTCAGGTGGTCTTAAGCTTGCTTGTGGTAATATGGGGTCTTCGCCTGGGAATATTTTTGTTATTGAGGTATTAATGACATGATATTCTATGGAAGTAGTTTTAAATTCTATAAGATATTCTACTGTGTACTGTTATTTCATTTCTAGAAGTTTTGATAGTTGCATGAGAGAGAAGGTTTGTTTGTTACTAAAGTCCCTAATTGATCTGCCAGCCAAACGTTCTGTGGTTGCCTTTACTAGCTTCGTGATATACTGGATAATAGTATATTGAAATTTATTTGTGATTGTATATGTGAAACGTTGTGAACAGGATTCTGCAGTGGGGGGAGGATAGACGTTTTGATGAAAGGCGTGGTAACATGGGGAAATTAGCTATTTTCTGGATATTTCAGGTTTTCGAGGATACTTCATCTTCTTTTTAAATCAATGATACGGTTTGATTTTTGAGAGGTGGATTATTCGTTTTATCCTCTTATTATTCACTGCAGGCTGTCTGGGCGTGGACCGTGAGTTTACCTGTAACAGTGGTTAATGCAAGCGATAGGGATCCTTCTGTTCAGGCAGCAGACATAATTGGTTGGATTATGTGGTCTATTGGTGTTTCAGTTGAAGCTACAGCTGATCAACAAAAACTGACATTCAAGAATTCTCCAGAGAACAGAGGAAAATGGTGCAATGTTGGATTATGGAAGTTATCTCGTCATCCAAACTATTTTGGCGAGGTCTGTCCTGCATTTTTCTTTCCATTGTCACTAATTTTGAAAGCAGAGCAGGTTGTAGCTTTTTTTAATGATTATTAAAATCAACTGGTGCTGCTCCTGTGACATCTTCAGAAAAATATGCTCTCTATGTTTTAATGGCTATTGGTTTGCTTGCACCAATAAGTGCAAACTTCACTGTTTTGGTATATGCCCTTTCCTTTTACATTCACTACCTTAATAAGTACCTGAATGTGATTAAATATTCAACTTAATCTTCAAGGTTTAGTAAGCTGTTTGATTTGGATAACTAGAAGCAAAGCACCAATGTGAGCCTTGTGCTTGTGGCACACAAAAATTGATTTTTCATGGATTATTAATTTTTTTTAATTTTGTTAAAAGTAGGTTACCTGAAGTTTCTCGTTTTCAGTCTAGTTTTGCTGGAATGCATGTCTCATAAGTTTCGCATACTCTGAAGATTTATTTGATCTGCTTCAATCTTATTTGATCATGGCAAGTTAAACCTTATTGTATGTTATGCTCAGATTCTCCTTTGGTGGGGTATTTTTGTGGCTTCTGTACCTGTGCTGGAAGGTGCTGAGTGGCTTGTAATTCTCGGGCCAGTCTTTCTTACTTTGTTGCTTCTTTTCATCAGTGGCCTACCATTGCTCGAGGTTTGCTTTTCCTGTCTCAAAAATGATATTGTTTGAACTTCGTTTTGATCTATCAAAATGCTTATTATGCACAACAAATATGAGAACAGGAATCTGCTGACAAGAAATTTGGAAATGTGGCTGGATACAGGGTGTATAAAAAGACAACCAGGTTATGTTTGTTTTCTCTTCTATGGCTGTTTTTGTTTCCAAATAATCTGGAAGATAAACTAGCTGACTGAACGTATTCTGTTTCAGCCCTCTCATTCCGCTGCCCCCAGCAGTGTACAGGAGCTTACCTTCATGGTTCAAATCTGTTTTCCTCTTTGAATTTCCTTTCTATAGTCGTAATTTTCCAGACGAGGGGTCAACATGGTGAGACTACTATAGAGTCTTGAATTTTTCTGTGTTTTGGCATGAATCGACAAATTGCATATCTGATGTGCATTTTCCAAGATGTGAATTCCACCATGTTTATGATAGGGATGCATGTAGAATTGAATGTATGAAACCACAGATAAATAAAATTTGCTCCTTTATACTTCCATTTCAATCATTGTCCCTGCTGCCTATTGTTGTCATTTCTTTCTCTTTTGACTTCTCATTCTTTTGTTTTATGTTGGTTGGAGACTTCCATCTTCCATTTCTTTTGCCTCCCTCTACTTACCTTGGAATGATTTCAGTTATATATATATATATATATATATATATTGGAGATGGACCGAGGGTATTTATTTTGTTGATCTGATTGTAATCTAACACTCCTTTGTACGCTATATACATCTTTGTGATCTGCTTCTAAAATCCATCGCTTGCTTTCAAAATATGTTATTCAAGTCTTCTAAAATACTTTTGCTTTGGCCTGAAAAATAAAAATCGTGATTTTGTTCGATGTGCAATGCTTGTTGAGTGAAAGTAGGCATTTGTTAGGCTGGTAATATCGTAATGTATGTTCTCAGGTTATTGATAGGCATTGCACATTTAAATTATTTTTTTAGCTTAATTCTGTTCAAATTTGCAATGTTTCTAAAGCAATCTCTATCTGTGCAAGGAATAGAAGAAGACAAGGTGGACTGAAGATTGGTTAGAAGTTCAACATGGAATTTGCTCTGTTTTGTAACCTTTTCTGTACTCAGAAAAGTTATAGCTATTAAGGCTTCATAACCTAAAGTTATAGCTGCTAAGGCTTCGTAACCTCCATGTTGTTCTTGCTAGTACTAGCTGTTAGTTGTTTTTTTTTTTTTTTTCCCGCCTGAAACATGTCTCTAACTCTAGTATTCTACTGAGTTACCTTTCCACAATCAATGCCTGGTTTGATGTATTTAAGCTTGCTAATGCCCTCGTATTCAATGACTTTCAGTCTTCAAGATTGATTTACTTGTGCGTCTAAACTTTGACTGTTCAGCTTGAGTTTTGCGAGTCAGATTAATTTCTGCTTCAATGAGTAAGAGTTTACAAGAAAGCCACATTTCAGGAAAGAAGGTCCAATTGACATTAAGCCCAGAAGAAACGATCAGGAAAAACAATGCATGGCAATTTTAGGTAGTGGCTGAAGGATTTAATTTCTTAATAAAAATGAGAAGATTCATCTTTAAAAAGATATTTAGTCATGGTATAAATGTGGTTGAGTATTTTCAGATAAAAAAGTTAATGTGATGTGTGTATGATGTTTCTGGTTGTAGAATGTGAAATATCCCATCTATTTTTTCTTTTTTATCAAAAAATAAAATAAAATAATAATAAAGTAAAGTATGAAGATTCTTTATGTAAATAATAATAATAATAATGATGCATTTGAAAAAATTCATAGGATGTGGCTAGTGAGCAGTGACAATGAGTTGGCAATTTTTTTGGGGGTGTACTAGGGGGCCCAAGGGCCAAAGGCAAAATAAATAAATAAAACGCCTAGCTCCATCTTCTGAGTTCTCCTCTATACTCCTAACCCTCTATGATCCTCGACTAGGAGGATATGACAAATATAAAGTAATCTTATGCAGACCTTTAATTCATGAGACAGCTCAAGAATTTTTTAAATTATACTATTATACGTAAGAGCAGAGAATAAGTTGTTTTAGGCGTTATTCTAGAGATATGACTCATGGATTTAGCTATTCCATTCGATCATCTTATGTAGGCACATCTACTCACGGTGACGGTAGTCGTAGCTCCGATAACGACAATGTCCGTGGTCATGGCACCGATAATGGCAGTATCCGTGATCATTCCACTACTAGTGACATTGTAAATGGTCGTGGCACTAATAGTGTCGATGTTTGGGGCTTGATAGTGACATTGGCTCCGCCGCATCCTCTCAAGTAATGCCCCTAGCTATGAAGGTCCCTTTGGTGGTTTCTTTTGCTCTAGGAAGCTCAACTAGATCTAATACTTGGACGGATCATTTAATTCGTCAATACCTAGTAAGTCATATGCTTTATATGTGATAATTAGTTTTATATTTTTATATATTATTGGAATCATTAATTCACTTATTTATTATTTATTTATTTTGTTCGATAGTTTGGTTTCATCAAATAAGTGCTCGATTTGGGTCGAATAATTTTTAAGGAGCGATTAGACCCCGTTGGCTCCATATAGAAGTTTGTCTCCATGGAGACAAAAAACTTCTACTTTAATGTGTTTAGGGTAACATATTAACTATTTGTTTATATTCTATTTAAAGTATTAATTTAAAATGAAATGTACTAATATTAAATTTTTCCTTCATGTAGAAGTATTTTTTATGGGATGCACCCATAGACGTACCGATTAAAGATGCATGGGAGGGTCCGGCACGAAGGCGGTACGTCAATATGCTCGAACAACTTAAATCAAAAGACCAACAAACCCATGTATATTACGGAGCACGTATGGGATGTATGGTGCTAGGATTGGGCGACACTTGAGTTTAGGCCCGATCTTAGTGGACATCCTAAAACCACATGTCAAAAATCGATGGTGTCGATGCTGACCCATCCAAATATACGGAGGGATCCATCTCTTTGATCAAACATACTAAACGTTTGGTAAATTCTATTATCCATTGTGTTATGAATTAATATTTGTATTTATTGCATGTCATATTATTTTGTATTTTTTTTTCAAAATAATAAATTGGGTCGTAACCTAAATCCTTATGAGGTGTTCCCGAACACTCACAATAAAAAAGATGAATCATTCGTCGACAAATGGTTTCAGATAATAATAGTAAGTTTTTTTATTTTTGTAAATATACATATGTCAATATAATCTAAAAAATATATTTATGATTTAATATTACAATTATTTCAATTACGTAGGAGCATGTGCAATCATTGCAAGAAGCAGCTACTAAGGAGTAGTTAGAGGGTGATTCATCTTCAAATGTTAACATGACCAAGATATATTTCAATGTTGTAGAAGGAGAGAAGAAATAGAGAATGTATGACCTCGGAACACAGAGGCGTCCAAGTATTACTCTCATTCGATGCTAGCTCGTTCTCTACCACATCGCGATACCCTAGTGGTAATATTCAAGAGGCTATTGTCTAGTATGAAGATAAGATCAAGGGGATGGAGGTTGACTATACTCGACGGTTCCAAGAATAGGAGGATAAATTCCACAATCTACGGAATCAAATGGAGATGGTGTTGGTGGGTTATGAGAGCTACAACGGACTCACGTCTCTCATACTAACCCCCTCCTTCCATAACCTAGAAGTCAATTGTTCCTCTCAATATCCAGGTGACATCAAGATGATGGAGGAGATGATGAAGACTAGCTTTCTTTTTCTTTTTTCTTTTTTGTAAGTTTTTAATATTTTTGTACACTCGAACGCATTTATATATTTATCCGATTTCAATTTATATTATTTTAATTTTATTAAATAATATTTCATGTTATAATAATATGTTACTTTTAGTTATTTGCTACTACCATTAACATTAAACGGCCATTAATTTATTAAAAAAAATTATTCATTCGGTGATGAATCAACGACCTACTTAGCAATCAAAATTAAATCTCTTTACGATGGATATAGATACGGTCGCTAAATAGCTATGGATATGGTGATGGATTTCAATAAAATTTAGCCGAGTATAATCGGCGATGATAATTCCATCGTTAAAATAGTAATGACAATATGGGGAGTAGCAATGTTTTTGCGACAAATTCAAGACTTGAAAGACAATTGCTTCCTTCAATTTAGCAATGGATAGAAATTTTCATCACTATTTTTTGCTTCTGAAAAATATTGTTGATAAAAGTAAATAGCGATGGAAAAATTTGTCACTATTTTACTCGTTTTCTTGTAGTGTCTAACTACCGAGACTTTATTATGGAAAAATCTCATCTTTTATAATTGTTAGAGAATACCTATCTCTTTTAAATCATAAAATGTTATAGCAAACCTTTTATTCAAAAAAAACATAAATAGACAAGTTAGAGCTAAATCAAATAAATAAATAAATAAAAATCTAGAATCATATATAAATATATAATAAAACAAGTAACTAGGAGGATATAATTCAATAAGAGTCATTGGAATTAACTTAAATCAAAGGTTTGTGTAAACTTTTGGTCTTATTCTCATTGCATCAATTGTTAATCGCACTCCACATTGGTTTAATGGCAAACATTGTTGCCGTTTTATTGTATTTGACAATTTCAGATATTTAGTACCAAATTATCTAATTTCAATCCTAAAATATGGGTTTTTAAGCAAATGTGATGCAAGTTAACATAATCAACGTTAAGATAAATGTCAAAATGACTTCATTTTATGCATTTTGTTGTTAATTTTGTTTTTATATTAAAAAAACTATTAAGAAATTAAAAAGATCATAACTAAGTGGTAAGTCGAGTCGTCTATCTTACCCCTTAATTCTGATTCTAATCAGGGAGAGAGACAACAAAAGAGTGAATTTGATTTTTTCAATTCAATGTTTTATCCCAACAAAAATGAAACAAAATTCACTCCCTCGCTGTAATTGGAGCCATCCACACCACCACATTAGCCAAGCTCTTTGCAGCTAGCCAAGAAGCTTTATCACATGCTGGAAACATTGTAGAGCATGTAGCAAAAAATTGCAAATTTATAGTGTGATTCACTTATTTCAAGTAGTCGAAAGATTGGAGTTAAAGTTGCTTAGTAGAATCTTTCTCTGTTTTTTTATGCCATCATTTTGCTAATTCGAACCCAAATTGCAGACAGTAGTCCAAATTCGGGTTGTTTTGACATTTGTTGGGGAATCAAGAGCATTGCAAGCCTACTCGTCGGCTTTGAAGGTCTCTCAGGATGGGTTACAAGAGTGGATTTTCAGAGGGAATGGGATTAGGTGCAACTTTGTTGCTTTCTGTTGCTGCGCTCTTCTTCTCTGGTATGAAGGTTATCTTGTTAGGCACGGATACACCTAACGATGACAATAGACAGACATCCGGTCAATTTATTCATTTTTTTATCCATAAAAAAATATTTTATATTCATTATTCATTAAAAAAATATTTATAAAAATCTTTACCCAACCCATATCAAGTTCATATTAGTTTATCGGTTCATTTAATAATCATTTAATGCCTGTTAAAATTAATTTGTAAAAAATATTTGTTTTAGTTCCTATAATTTTCAAAAAAAGTTTTTTTATCTTTAAATTTTAATTTGTTTGCACTTTGGTCATTTATTTATAAGTTTTTTTAGTTTTCAAAATTTTTTAAAAAAAATCTTTTAGCTCTTAATTTTTAAAATTTATGCAATTAAATCCCTATATTTTAATAAAAAACAAAATAAATTAATAACTATTAATAAGATAAATAGTGAATATTCATATCCTAAAACCATCATATTAATGAATATATATTTTTTATTTTTATATATTTTTTATTTATTGAATGGAATAAAATAAATTTCTGTTTTATATTCGATTCATCATATCCCTAACTACACCAAGGAAGGCCTAGCCATAGCTACCATGTCTGCTGTCATGATTGGAGGATTGTAAGTGCTCGATTTTCGGTCATATGATCAGGTATAATATTTGGACACATTTATCAAAACAAATCTCTCAAGGGACAGATTCACTAAACTTTTCTCGTAAACGGAAAAAAAATAAAATAAAAATGGAATATTGAATTTATATATTATTACTTCTTGTTAATATATGAAATCATTACAAGCCTAGCAAATTTGGTACTTTTATTGGGTGTTCGGGAAAACTGCACATATATCACACCCTGGGTAATAAAAGACCTCTCAAAAAAGCTGAGGTAAAAGAAATGAAACAGGTGAAAAAAAAAGAAAAAAAGAGAGTGATATATACCACGAACAAGTTATACACCAGTTTTATTGATATTTTCCAGGGAAAATACAGCACCGGATCTGCCCTCATTTGATGATTGGGAGGGTGCCATAAGAATGTAAATGACCCAAAAGTGAAGGCATACGAGGTAAAGCAAACACCACAATTTTGCGGATGGATTTATCCTTAAAAACACCACACCAGCAAGGAATATGGCATCCAACTGCTGAACCAACGATCCTAAGTGTTTCCTTCCGGCACGAATTTTGTCCTCAAACATCAACTTTGAGTCAGAAATTGTCCATGTTCCTGATTCTAAATCCCTTGAATTCATCACCGACTTATTTTCTTCTAGCAACCTTGAAACAGCCTGAAAGCGCACGACAGAATATATAGCGAATCACAAAAATCCATATTTTTTTTTCTGTGGCCAGTGGTACTAACAATCATTCAAAGTTGAAAACATACCTCAATTCTGAAAGTAAGGGTTGCCTTCTCTGAGGAAAGCGCCTCAACCTGGGATGAATAATCCATGTCAAAATTGTCTCCACGCAGCACTGACAATACATTCTCAAAATTCGAAATTGACATGACAACTCAACAACTCGAGGAATCATGACAGAGAGGAGTGAAGTTCACTCATAGGGTTTTGAATAACCAATACATCGCCATAAGGTCAATGCTACTTGTGGAAGTTTCAACCGAAAACTAGTTGAAGATGAATGAATTGGCAAGGCAATCCATATAAACAATAATTCGTCAATAAATGATGCCACTGTATACTTCCTAAAGTGTTCCTACACAATCGACTCTTTTTCCTGAATTCAGCTCTTCGCGACTCGTAGTTTCAGAGAATGATTGTCTACTTAGACCCTAAAAAGAATCTGCAAGAGCTCTAGGCTTATTTTATAAGGCAGCTCACATTGATATCATTGAAATTGAGGAGTTCATGACTAAGAAAGAATGCCCTGAATATAAAAACTCCCCAGGTTTTACTTAAGAGGTTATAAAGTCAGTAGCTGTATGACAAGGACTCAAAGTCCTTCGATAAAATGACTCAATTGGAAGAACAAAAATAAGAGAAAATTAAGCATCCTAATTACTATAATTGACCTGCATGATTCAAAGTTGTTTGAAAGACAAACCTGGGCTTGTTTCTGAATCAAATGGTCAGTTAACTGGCCTAGCCTTCGCTTGAGCTCCATTTCTACTTCAGTCGGATCCTCCATCTCTTTTCTTGTCATCTCAATATCTGCTTCCAGCTTCTTTGCCTGAAATAGACAAGTAAAACTTACGCAGATAAGTAACCTGGCATAGGAATGTATATGCTGGAGATGCCAGTATACCACAGGAAATCACCCAGAAAAATTGTTGTGATAAAATGTATAAGAAAAATCCACATCCATATAAGTAAATTTTGAACGTCATCTATAGCTTAGCTATTGGGAACTGACCATATGGATAAAGATCAAGTTTTTCTTGCAGAATCTAAAAATGAGGTTGGGATACAAAGCTGAGACCTTAATAATTAAGCTTTATTGCTAAACATTTGTTACCAGATTAATGCAAGAACATCAAGCTCAGGATCTTTCACATTTTATTTAAGCTTTGCACTGATGCAAAAGTCTAATATCTAACAATTTTATTTCCTATCGCATGCACCCAAGTTCTGGGTTCAAACAATTATCTTCAAACCAAATGCAAATCAAGCAAAATGTTAGTACAGACTGAAATTAGCACTTAAATATGATAATCTTCAGGAATTTAAAAAACATCAAGAAGTTAATTAACTTAAAGACATCAGAAATATGGAGCAAGTTGACAACTCAGGACCAGATAAAGTTAATTAACTTCTTCGTCCTTACATTATATTGAAATGGGAATGCTAACCTTGTCTTCCAATCTTCGAATTTTATCAATTAGGAATGAGTATTCTGTCTCAAGAATCTCCCGTTCAAATTCAACTCCTTTTGAAGCTGCAGCCTACAAAATTCCAAACAAACACAAAACTGATTACAAACTGGCTGGGTTAGGGAAAAGAGGTAAATAAGAACCAGATAAAGCATATAGCCTCATATAAGAACTCAAGCATCCTCTGTAACCTTTAGTTGGGCACCAATATGATCAACTGTGACTCACCTGGTTTAGATATGTTCCAGTCTGGTGAGTCTTGGAGATCTTCCTCCTGAGTTCTACAAAATGGAGGCTCAACAATCAATATATGCATTATGAAGTGATTTTATGCAAGATATTTTTCATCTTAACGATCAAATTATCCTTGATTTCCATGCAGATCACAAATTGGTTAAATGCAAATAATCAGTTTATAGTATCATATCTGCTGGTGGCTGGGATAATTTGAAGTATAAAATACAGTGCCACTATCTCATCTACAACCTAAAATCCCAAGTTTTTTAACAGTTTCTATTATTGTTATCTGATTAACAAAAAAATATGATGATGATGAAGCAAGAATAAAAAGTTCTTGATAAGTTTCCATTTTGCAAAGAGACTATTTGTTCACCAGAAATTTCTAACTACACTTGTATGTAGGTGTCAAAATAAGGCAGCCTGTAAAGGTAATATACAAGTCATAACTAGTCTAACCTGTTTCATAAATTTTCAACCCAACCTACTCCTTCAGTCCCAAAACTTAAATAGTAATCAGATCTCACAATTTGCAAACCTAGCATCTAAGATTTTAATCAACATCTACGCAATTCAGGAAAATATGAAGATGAAGGAGGCTATGGCAAACGGGAGTTCCTGCAGAAATTTTTTCTTTTCCCTGTGGTATATCCATGGACCACTATTTGTTATATTTTAACATGTGAGCATTTGTCTATAAGAAATTGGTTACAATATCCAACGCAACTTAAGGAGACAGAATCTCAGTCATTTACGTTGTCATTGTTTGGTGAAAAGAGTTTTAGGACATGCTTTTATCATTAGTTAGAGTGATGTCGCTTATGCCAAGGTCACCTAGTCAGCCGCTAGTGATGACGGATAGATTTGTAGTAATATATTTTCGTGGTAGGGAACCAAATAGAAATCGTAGAAGTTTTTGGGGATCAGGTGTTAGGAAGGTTAACTTAGAGTTGATAGGATTTTATGCTGTATTAAATAGCCTAATTTGATGTAAAGGCAAGAGAACTATTTCAGTATTCAGGGTTTTTCAATGTACAGCTAAAGGGGCAACAGGTGGAAATTGAACAAAGAAAAGAAGAAAATTTGGAGCCTGTTGAAGTTCAATGATAGTGACATAAACAGTTTAAGAATAGGTGTCACATTAATATTGAGGGAGATACTAACATTAATGAACAAGATGAAGAAGAAACAAAGTACTTGCCCTAGGCACTAATCACTCTTGCCTTCAAACTCAAACAAAAATACAGAGTGATCCATTAGAGCGATTGAGGGAAAGGTTACTGAGCTAAATATAAATACATAATCTGCAGGAAACTATATTCTTAGGTTTCTCTTCGATGAAAGTAAGCAGAATAGTTTCTACAATTTGTTGATGTTTTATATTTGATTTTCTCTGGCACTCTTGTGCATGCTGGATCCTTTCTTTCCATGTCTGTTACAATCAATTTATTATTTATCTGAAACAAAAACAAACTTCAATCTAATTTTTGCAAGTCCAGTTACTAATTAACTTCAGACTCACATATAAACTATTTTGGTAACACAGTCCTAACACCTCAGACCTAACATTCCATTACTGTAAGAAGTACAAGGAATTTATAACTCAAGTCCGGCAACTGACTTAACTTCCAACATTAGCATATACATAACACATATCTACTTCATACACGATCAGAATGTTGGTTCATTGAGATTTATACTCTGAACCATAACATTTATAAACAAGTTTTTTCTTTCCTGCAATTACCCCATAATGAATTGACTACAAAGACTGCTGATGCATGCTTTAACATTTTCTCTATTTCAAATGCTCAACTCTGCTTTTTTCAAGAACTCATTGAAGGATAATGGATCATATGCAATAAATATAGCAGGACCATCAGCTAGAATTAGGAGAAAAACAAAGGAAAAAAGAAAACTATTAGCAGTTTCATTAAAATAATCAGATCATAATCTGAGATTGCACACCTTCAAGAGCCACTTCTTTTAATTCAATTTTTTGTCGGATTTCTGCCACCTGATTAATCTGGTCAAAAAACAAGAAAAGAAATAAAGAGTTATGATGTGCATACATGCTGTACTATATGTCAAGAAAATTTCAAATTCAGATACGGCTATCATTGCATATGGTCCCTTCACAAAATAGCATACCAAACTAGACTAAAGGGCATGTATCAGCACTCAAGTGAGGCAAAAAGCTATAACCAAGCAAGGTAGCTAAAGCAAAGTATCGAACATAGTAGTGAATATACTTTCATCTACTGTTATTCCATTGGAAAAAAAAAATGCAATTCATTCAAAATAGACAAGAATATCTAAAACCAAATTCAGAATGAAAAGGATGGTGGATTAAAAAACCCAACCACTTGAATAGGAAGTCCATCATACCTCTAGTTCAAGATTTTTCTGTGCAGTAGCAAGGGATCTTGCAAGATCAGTATTTGCATTCTGCAATCACATAGATCTTTAGAAACAACTAAATTGACACAAAATATTCACACTTTATTCCATTCAAAAATTCAAAGGATATAGAAAAAACTAATTGTCTACTACATCTAATGTGTGTATATGAAACAGGCTAGTGTACCTCGAGTTTAGCCAATCGGGCAAGAGCTTCCATTCTAGTATTATTATGTTTCTGCTTTTCTAACTCAACAGCCTCCATCGTTTCCATTGTAGTTGTCTGCAGCTCAGAAGCCTGTCAGAGAAAGTTTCATCACACAATTACTGCTTGAACGAAAGGATAAGTTGATAAAAGTTCAAATTCTACAAATAAAAATATCACATTGTAAGAATCAAAAGCACCAACCTGCACATTGTCTTAATTGACTACAGTCACTTATAGAAAATTTTCAGTTTACTATAGTCTTAGCACTATTGGTATTTTGAAAGAAAAGTGGAAAGTAAAGACTGGCCCAGTGTTAGGTCAATGCAAGCTCAATCAAAAAGTTATCAGTACCCCTATAACTGAAATTTCAACCTGGTCTATGTTCTTTGAGCTTAAAATGAGCTAGATCAGATGGGTAGACTGGATACTATGGCTCTTGGAAAACAACACAGCTAGGGAGCCATGGGTAAAAACAAAAATAGCTGCTCATCTTTTACGACATTTAAAGTTTGGAAGTTAGAGCTTCTACTGTATATGAATTAGGACCTGAGGCAATCTTGACAGGGAAAATGGCTATTCTCAACAAAATTATGATTAGACTAGATTCCAGTTGATTTGATCCGCCCAATTCATTGTTCTATTATTCTTAACGATGTTCATTCATAACAAACATATATGTATAGTAGATGGTAAATTGACCGTAAATTTTTGGCTTACTTTTCTAAAATAAAGAAACTATTGTTTGTTCTTGGTCATGTATTAAATTAAAAACAAAGAAGCCTAATGTTCATTCTTTGCAGTCCGATGTATGATTATCTAAACTACACTAACAATAAAGAACCCAAATCAACTATAACGGCAAAGTGAATGCCTAACATTACCTCTTGTACTTGTTGTTTTGCTCGTTCTTCAAGTGTTTTCTCTAAGCTCTGCTTCTCCCCTTCCAATCTGGCAACCATATTCTCCCGCTCCTTGATGGCCTCCACAGCTTTAGCTGCTGCTTTCTCTGCCAAAATCTTCTTCCTTCTCTCCCTCTCACGTTCACTCTCAGAATCAGATGATGAACCCAAATCACTATCTGAATCAGAGCTCTCATCACTAGTCGAAGAATTTTTCTTGAAATCATCCAAGACAGAACTTCTAGATGAAGCACGAGCCCCACGCTTCCCTTTCACAGTGTTTTTCAAGCGATCATAAACATCACCAACTCCCTTCTTCACATCAGATATCCCATCTATTTTCTCCGGTACAGAAAGCAAAGCATGATTCTTATTTCCCACCTGCAAAACCTCCTCGTCCGCAACATCCTTGGTTTCAGAATGTGCACCATTTTCTTCACTTCCTGCATCCTTCCTTTCTTCGCTTACCTCACCACCAACATTTTTATTTTGTTCCAATTCTCTCCCATCCATAACCTTACCATCACTCTGCAACTCAACACTTGAAGACCTAGCCGACGAGCTAGACTCCTCTCCATCACTAGGTTTCCCATTCAACTTTAAATCCAACCTCTTCGGTACAACCCCACTATTTTTCTTATCACTATTACCCCTAACTTTCTGATTCCTTTTTGCATCTACCACTGACAAATTCGAACCCAAACTCCCCTGCCTCCTACCCTCCTTTCTTAACCCACGAATCACAGACGCCCCATTATTCCGATTAGGCGTGCTTGCATTCTGACTCGGAGGAGTACCAAGTAGCTCAGTCCAGTCACTATCAGTAAGCGTTGCCTTAGGTTTTGGAGAAATTTTCGGGGCATTCAAAACCTCCTTATCTCCACCACTACTATCATTAACACTACTAATAACATTGTTATTAACAATATGATTCTTATTAATAGCAAAATCAGCATTCAGTTTTCCCTTGTATTCATTGCTGCTATTGTTAAATTCATGTGTTTTCTTCTTCAATTGATCCTTCAAAGACACAGGACCTCCGGTTTTCGCTGGAAGATTAAATTTTTCATCTTCAGATCGTGACTGCTCGTTCTTCTTCAACGATTCTGCTGCTTGCTGATCAATCTGAACCATGGATCAACCAAAAAAAGAAAAACTAATTATTATTCAAAAAACAAAAGAGAAAACCCCAATTCTGGAAAGAAAGAAAATATATTATTCAAATAACAGCATAACAATGACATTAAAAGGGAAAAAAATCCGAAATGATACTAAAAATATTAATGCTAAAGCAAAAGGAAAAACGAGGGAGAAAAGAGGAATTTGGCTTGCCTGTTCAAAGAAAGTTTCCGCGACTTTGAGTTTTGAAGAGATCCAATTCGACATTCTCTCCTTCTCTGTTTCTTCTCTTTTTTCTTATTTAGATTTGAAATCAGTGAGTGAGAGTTTGTTGTGTACGCAAAAGGCGCATTTTAGCAAAACGCAGGAAATATTGAGTTGCAGAGAAGCAAAGAAAAATGGGGAGAAAGATGGAGATGCAGAGAGGTGCTGTTGAAGAGGCGAAGCTAATGTGACGGGAAGGTGAGATTTGTGAGGGTGTTTTGGAGTGAAACGTAACGGTTAGTTGAAAGAAGATGTGGTCTGTGAGGAATGAAAAGGTGACGGGGGTGTGATTTTTGTGGTTTTATGCACGTGAGGGTGGAAGGTTATTGAGTTGCACGTGTGGGATTGCGACCCAGTGACGTTTCCGACAAGAAAAAGAGTAAGGATATAGCCCAATTCTAGAGAGGTAAGAATCAGGTTTCTGTTAAGTCTGTTGGCAGACGAGGTTTGATTTCTTATGGGCTTGTTTAATCCCAGGATTTATTTAGCCCAATTCTATGAGGTTTGTCTTCATGTGTAAAAACCAGGTTCTACACGTTAAGACAAAGTTACTTTAAGATCAAATCTTACATATATATATATATATATATATAATCACTAGCTTGTTTTTTTCTTTTTTTCATCCTCATGATATTCTATGTTTAAAAATTTAGATTGATCCCTTATTATTCTGACTATACAATGCGAGTGTAACTACTCAAAGAGTTTTCTATATATACGAGAGATTTAAATATAAAACCACTTGATTAAACGACCATAAGTTTAAAACATTTTTTACTCAAGTCAATTCTCTCTTACAAGGTTATTAGCTTTTTATTAAGGTACGTAAATTACATATTGTGAAACTATAGATATTATTAAAAAGTTAAAAGATTCTATAAATATTCACAAAATATAAATAACTTGTTAAAGAAGTGATCGAGTAAGTAGGGGAAATTTTGCCATAATACATGAATATCAGCATCATCAACATTTTTGTTTATAATCAATTGTTCCTCAATGGCCACACTGACTATCAAAAAAGTAGAGAAAAGAAAATGTTAAAAAAATGAAAATGATACATAAAATATAAACACAGCTCGAGAAGCATTCTCCAAAACTTTTCTCTAGCTAGCTGATCTATATAAATTAATTTGAACAACAATACCCAGCTTGTTTAGTTGCTGATACTTCATCAATGTTAATTACTTCTTTTCCAACCGGAAGAGTCTTTATAGTAGTAATTGTCGTTTCATTCTTTTTAGCCTCCAAACTTTTTTGGCTTGCAATTTCATGGATTCGACCGATCATTTGCATAAATGCTTCCTCCACATTCAAATTCTCCAGTGCTGATGTTTCCATAAAATACAAAGCTTCAGTCTCAGCAAGATTTTTGCCATCTTCTTCCTCAACTTCTCTAGAATGACCAATATCAGATTTATTTCCAACAAGAACAACCACCATGTCTGAACTCCCAAACTCTCTTAGCTCACGCAGCCATTTCTTCACATTGTCAAACGTTGCTCTCCTAGTAATGTCATATACTAGCAATGCGCCTAGAGCCCCCCGGTAGTATGAACTAGTAATAGCTCTGAACCTGCAGCAAGTAAAATTAATCTTTTTAATTGTAATATCTTCGGACTGGTTTGCCTGCCACCAAAACTGAGCAAGGGAGAGTTTATTGGGCATCAGAAATATTAGTTTGGTCTTACATTTTGGCCCCGGACTATGCTTGCTGTTGATGGAAGAAGAAACAATGGACTAACATCATTTCGTCTGAGCCCATTTCATGAACATCTTTAATTATTAAAGCCCATATAACATCACATCCATTACTCCACAAACAAGTTTGAGCTTGAAATTATAATGACACAGAGATGAAGATGATGAAAAACAGGAAACTTAATGGTTGTAGTAATCTGAAGGGTTACAATAGCCAACATTTTACACTTGTTTTGTTGATAGCACCAAAGGAAGTTTCGTGGGGGATGAAAATTCTGTACAGAATCATTACGTTATAGATAGGAGGATGCATTTCCACAAAGAACAAAGCCTGCTGTAGCCTTCGATAGATATCGCCATCATCATATGAATATTATAAGAAAATCAAATGAGAAGTGTATTTATCTGAAAGAAAATGTCATTTTCTTTCACCAAATTGCATTTTGTCAAAGTCCTCATGAAAATGAAACAACTAAACAAAAAAGTTGCATATAAACTTACTTGGATGACCATATTTTTATTTATTTATTTTGGATTAAGATTTATTGCATTGGCTGTGGATAAATGTTCCGTGTGCAAGGATCTATAGTCTTACGCGTCTTTAATTGTTGGCCTTGAAATGACAATGGCATGTGCCTGACCTAACTCATGAAAAAAGAGCACAGACGGGACGGAAAAGTGGAAATTAAGAAGGGATGAGAACTTTGTAGCAAGCAAGTAATTCGATTAACGTTCTTTTCATGAACCTCCAGTGGGTATTTTTTTTTTTTTTTTATCATTGCATTATTAATTATAAAAGTCTAAGACAAAGCCAAGATATATAGTTATGTGGGTCCTAGTTGCTAGCATTTTAATTAATGGAGATTAAAGCAGATCACTACGATCAGTGGTGCTAAAATTCTGGTTGATTCATCATGTATATTTCCAGATGGTTAACTAATTACAAATTAATTTTGCTAGAATCTCTTAATCAAGCATCAAAACTCAAAAGGGTTAGGTTAGGTGGGCTAATTGTAGATGAGCAGGTAAGAGTCACATGCATACACAACTTTAGCAAATTTCAGACATGAAAACATTGATCCTAATCTGGAAATGATGATTCACTATTCCAAAACAGTGTCACCTAACATGATAGAAACAAAAGAAATTAAAGATGAGCATACCTTTCTTGGCCAGCAGTATCCCATATTTGAGCCTTGATGAGCTTATCACCAACTCTTATATTCCGGTAAGCAAATTCAACCCCTATAGTTGGCTTAGAATCAAGCCGGAATTCGTCTCTTGAAAACCTTGATAGCAGATTTGATTTCCCAACTGCAGAGTCTCCAATAAGAACTGCTTTAAAAAGGTAATCACACTCTTCATCATATGAATCAGCCATATTTATATATATACATATATCAAAACCCTAGCTAGCTATACCTCTTCCTCAAAAAAGAATGAACAAGAAAAGCTAAAGAATATGTCAAAAGACGAGAAGGGCTCGAAAAGAAAGAAATAACCAAAAAAAAAAAATCAAGGCATGGAGGAAAGCCATGTATAGATGTATATATATATATATCCAAAATGAAAAAGTCACGTTCAGATTTATAATTACAAATCAAGTGATGGGTATATGTAGTAAATTAGTGATCTTCTTGGCGTAGGGATTGGAGGGTATTGAGTGTTTACATGTGAAAACAAGGATAAAGACATGATGATGACTGTTTCTATGATGTTGTCAAGATAAAAAGACGAATAATAATCCATTTAATTCTTAATTCTTAATTCTTAATCCTTCCTATATTATTACCACTCTTGCAAAAATGTAGATGAAAGACCACTAATGTACTTCCACGTTGCTCTTCCAACAACTTTTCAAAATGGTTGGGGTCATGTAATGTTTAAGTGGCAATTACTGAATTGGGATGTCTTAACTGAGTGCTGACAGTGTTGTTACTCTATCAAGGGTAGCTCCAAAATGGTATTTGGTTGCTTAAAGGTATTGGGTTAAGCTATAATGGTTAATCATTTCACAGTCTTTTCTGTTAGAATTTTTAAGTGTTTGGATTTGACTATAAGTTGTTAGTGAGTTTCATTTCTTTAACCAACATATAACCAAACTAAGATATGTTTAATTGATACTCATATATTGTGTTTGGTTTTTTGTATAATAGATTTTTTTTTTTATATTCGATGAAAAATTATATGTTCGGATGAGTTTGCATTTCAATCAAGATTAAGTTTTTTTAAAAAATAATAATATTAAAGACTATATTTTACATCGACTCGGTGCGTTCAAAGAAATCTAATAAATTCTGTAAACACTAATTTTAAAATTTAAACTTAAAAAAAATAATAAGAATTAGAATATAATTTTTAAACTATCAGAACCTTTTGAAATTCATGCAATAATATTGAATTAACTAAAAGTTGTGTATTAATACTTAGGTAGCAAGCAAAAACAGGCTAATGTTTGGAAAATAGAAAGCTAAAGTTGACGAGTAGGTTTGAGAATGACCCATGAAATGAAGGCACACAAACAAACAAACAAATTAAGCTGTTATATTTCAATTTTGTTAATGCAACAATTAAATATATAAATTGTAGAATGAAAAGGCAAAGGATCTTCAGAATAGGTCAGGGTACCTTTCGGCTTTCACGAGCTTAAGAATAGCCAAAGAAGTCAAGCTGACTATAACAGGTTTCGATGATTATGCTAATTAGACTTTTTTTTTTTAAATAAAGGGTTATTAGACATCTTGATTACAAGATATCATGTCAAAGAAATTAGAATAGTCATTTTTTTGAAAAGGAGGAGGAGAAAATAAGGCAATGGATGTCACTATTTATAAAAATATTGTACGATTTATCTCTTTTTGTAAATGATTACAACCATATAGAAGCTCATGGTATTGATGTTTCTTAAAAGAGCTTTTTTATCAAAAAAAAAAACAAAAAACAAAAGAAAAGAAAAGAAAAGAAACCCGGGAAGCATGCAATTCTACTAATCATTTCAAAACTGGGCAATAACCGGAATTTGGTGCGTAGTAGAGACGTTCTGAATATTGGTTCCTTCGGCAAGCCCAACCCCGAGAAGCAAACAAACAAGTAACAGTACCAAGTCCATGTAAAATTTGGGTCCAGCTATATCTTTCCCAAGAGTAAATAAGTACCATTAATAAATAAAAAAAGGAAAAAAAACATGAAATGATTGATAGAAGAAAGATGACCTTTTATAAAATAAAATAATATAAAATCAATCATAATCAACACTAGTTAAAAATATAAATAATTAGTTTAAAAACAAAATGCAACTAATTAATTTTTTTTCTAGAAAATAGAGGGATTAATTTATAATTTACTCTTCATTCTTTTGGAATGTTAATTTTGAAGGTTTAACATGACTAGTAAAAGAGTTTTTCTTTAAGTTGTTCGAATATTAACAGAAACTTACTGAAAATAATGTCACATGAATGCACCAATTCTAGTTTACATGACTTGTTTAAGCCTTTAAGAGAGAGGAACAAAATTTAATATCCAAAAATAGACTAGAAAAATACTCTTACGTTAAGAGTAAACTAAATATGTAAATCGTTTTGAAATCTTATACCGTCACTACAAGAAAATAGAAAAATAGCGATGGAAAATTATTTTTTGTCGTTATTTACTTTTAGCGACAGATTGACAATAATATTTTTCACTAGCTAAAACGATTGTAGCTATTTATTTTAGCGACAAAAATTGTTATCTCGTTGCTAATCGGCAAGAGCTTATCCATTGCTAATGTGAAGTATTTCCATCATCAAATTGCAGTAAATAGTCATCTTTTAGGTCTAGAATCTATCACAAAACCGTAGCAATTTCTTTTATTGTAGTTGCTATTTAGCGACGGAATTGTCATCTCCAATTATACTTGTTAAATTTTCTTACAAATCTGTCACTTCGTTGCTATTTAGCGACCATATCCGTATCCATTGCAAAGAGATTTAATTTTGGTCGTTAATTCGATCGTTGATCCGTTGCTAAATGAACGAATTTTGTATATATTATAATAATAATAATAATAATAATAATATGTCAAAGCGATTACAAGGCAACGTTGTTTCCTTTTAATTCCTATGCGTATATACACACACACACACACACACACATACACACATATCTTTGAGATAAGAGAAAATAGAAAATAGATAGAATAAAAAAACTCTCTACAGATTGAATACTAAAACAAGAAGGATTGTCTTAGCACTTGGATTGTGGGAAATAAAGATAGTGATTTAATATTACTCGTATCGATCTAGTGAAACTATTTATAGGTATGTGTTCGATCTTAATTATTCTCTATTTTTGAAGTATTCATCATAATTTTCATTGGTATCGAGTCCGTTTAATAGTTTCCATGATTATCCATAGAGTGTTATTGATATGTGGTATTTGTTGTTGTGTAATAATTCTTGAATATTGTTGAATTATCCAATGTTCGATATTTGTTATTAGTATATCAATGTTTTGATATTTGTTGTTATCTACGTGATATTCATCTAAATCCACACACACACACTATATATATATATATAATGTCGGTAAGACGCGGCACGGAGAAAGGCTTATGGATGATACACGGCACAAAGAAAGGCTTTTTTTTAAAAAAAAAAATAGAAATGTCAAGAGTAGGATTTGAACCCGCGTCTGCTAATGTTTAATCCGATGCCTTAGACCACTCTATCATGCTAACCTATTGAAACATTTAGTAGACAAGTAAATATACTACTATTTTAAAACGGATAAGCAAATGTTTTGGAAAATAGATTGTTGACAGTGTGATGCGAACTCACATTTTATTGGATTAAAATTCTTAATTTTTCACCTTAAACCAACCCAATCGATACATCTTGTTTGTTCAAGTTTGTTGATAAATTACTATTATATTTAAGTATTCCATCAAAACTCGTTGATGATTGATTATTTTTGTGTTTAATCTCATGAACTATTTATGTATAATAGTTTGAATTATGTGTTAATATTTTTATGTTCATTTAGAATTTATATATATGAACATATGCTATTTATGAAGCACTATATTTTTCTCGTATTTGTTTTTGCTTCATAAATGTTTAGTGAAAATTATGAGATAAATTCAAATGGTGTAACTTTTTAAATTAAGTTATTAAAATCAAACATTTGAGTATGAATGATGATAGGGAACATAATGAATTGTCAATTCTATATCTTATGTTAGATTTTAATAGTTAATTTAAGAAATTAGTGAAACATACATAAATATTGATATTGCATATAATGTCTCTTTACGGTAATTAATTATTAAAATGGCAACAAAGAACGTCATTACCGACTTGAATAAGGGCGAAACGCTTGATGGGGACAACTATAACATATGGCATTTTAAGATACAATATGTCCTAAAAGAGCAAAAGGCTTTAGAGATGATTGAGCCTCGGTCCGATGATGGGAATAACCTTGCCCAATATCGTTGAGATATCGTAGCATATCGAGCTCGGAGAAGGCGATTCCACTACAAAGGGAATCCTAATAAGTTCTATGAAAGATGATCTAGTTTTCAAGTACCAAAAATATTCAACCGCTTATGCCATCCGGGCGACATTGAGGAAAGAGTTTGGAGGGACCACTTGTCTCCAAACTAAGGCGATTGATAATCAAATTTGACACTTATAAAATGATTCCAAATAAATCTATGAAACAAGACTCGAGGGACATATCGAACATGATTGCGGAACCGAAGAAAGTTGGGTATGTCTTGGCGGATGAACAATAAGTACAAGTCGTTATCCGATATGTTCCTAATAGTTGGAAACATATGAAAGTGAACATGACTTAGAATGAGAATATCGGGACATTTGCTTGAGGTCGCTTGCCATATTGAGCTAGAAGATGAGTGTCTTGAGGTAGCAAAGCCAAATGCAATAGCATATATGGTCGAGTCTAGCTTTAAGAATACTTCAAGTTTTAAGCGTAAATGGCATGACAATAAGAAAGAGAAAGAGACTGGACGGAGACCAAAGAAGAGAACTAAGTTTTTTAAGCGTAAAAGAGAAAAGAGTAATGAAAAGAAAGATAAGGTCAAAATGACTTGCTACTAACCGTAGGTCACTTCGCTCGTGAGTGTAATGGGTTAAAGGAGGTATTGTCTTTAAACACCTGTTCTACTATTGCTTATGTTTCTAGTACTATAATGCTTGTTGAATCCCATCTTTTGTGGATCGTAGATTCGGGAGCCACCCATTATGTAGCTAGAGACGAGAGATACATTTATGGAATTTCGTCGAATTTCAAGTGGGACGCGATAGATATATATGAGTAATAACACGAGGGTTGAAGTGCTTAGACTTGGTACATGCAAGTTGAATTTTCAAAAAGAAA